TAAAGAACAAAGTATTTCTGAAGAATATTTAATTCATTCAGATCTAGGATGTTATTTTTGTGTTCCCTTTAAAAAAAAAATTGAGCAGTGTACTTTCAGATAGTTAGTTTGTTTTTGTTTTTTGTCACTGACCTTATTGTAAAATATCTATCTGTCTTACCAGCAGTTCACACAATATTGCAACCCATGGTTACATTTTGGAGAATTCACTATTGTTATTCTCCTCCCCATTTTCCTTGAAAAGGTATTTATCACTTTGTACTACCCCTCTTAGTATATACCTTTTTACCCCCTGTATCCTTGTGTTCTAAGGTTACTGAACCTTTTTTTTTTTTTTTTTTAAATCTATTAAATGTTAGATTTTATGCGTCAAATTTATTAAGGATCCTAACTAACCAGGACAGATTATCTCTCATTCTCTATATTCAGTTTTTTTTGTTTTTTTTTTTGGTAGCCACTTAGTCACAAACACTGGCCAAAGTTAGTGTTCATCATTTTTCTGCACTTTCACTGATGATATCATTGTCAATATAGGTTTTACTGCTCTAACATTCATTTATGTTCAGGAATTCCTCACGGGTAAAACAGTACTCCCCCGGCGGAGGGGGCGTGATGATGTGACGCACCATCCTCATGTTAAGCCGGGGAAAACACGGCAGTGCCGAGTCTTGAAAAGAGAGAGCAGGCAGGCGAGAAGTGAGCAGGTGCAGTATTGTTTGTAGGCTGCTGTAGAGGGATTGAAGTCAGGAGACAGGCTCAACAAGACTGAGTTTTACATAAAGCCAGAACGCCAAATTACTGGGTGAGACAAAAATGCTAAGATAACTTTGCAAGAGATGAGTCTACACCTACACTCGCACAGTAATAAGTACAGCTCTATAAATATTTCTTCTATTTTTTCTTCTTCTCAAACAAGATATTGGCAAAAAAGGAAAAAAAAATAAACCTTTTCTGATGACATTAAACACAAGGCAGGATAGGTGGGGGAGGAGAGGACGGAGGCTGGAGGGAGAATAATAAACACTAAGATCTCCTATGCCAGAATGGCTTTTTAAAAAAAAAATGGAACGAAGGAGAGAGAGAAAAGGACAGACTAAATGGGAGAAAAGACTGTCTAGCAATTTATTTATTTTTCTCACCTCAATCTGCAAAAGTCTGCAACAAAAAAGCAAACAATGGAAGAAAGACAAAATGAAATAGAAAATAAAAAAACTTACAATACCAGCCCTAGAAAAAATCATGGGATATGGATCAAATAACAGTAACTCCAGATTATCTAAATACAAGACTGGAGATGCTATTCCAACAGATAAAATCAAGAAATAATAACAAACTTATCCGAAATTAAGGAAGAAATAGCAGTGATAGCTAAAGATATGAAAAATTTGGAAGAAAAACTAGAAAATTTAGAGGTACAGATAAAAATTCAAGAAGATGAGGAAAACCAACAAGCAAAACAAATTAACATTCAGGAAAATAGAATAGCAGATGTGGAAGATAAATCAAGATGCTGTAATTTGCTGTAAGAAATGTTCTGGGAGAAATAACACAGGAGAAACTATTAGAATTTCTAGAAGAGTTTTTGTTTTTATAAAGAATGGACAGAGAAAAAAACTTTTTGGAAAAATACCATAGGCTTCTTTCCTCATAGAAGTCAAGGTTATAGCTGCCTTTTATAGCAAGAGGGGAAATATTTATAACCTCTATACCCTTTTTATTTAATTTTTTTGGTATGGATCTAAACTTTTTTTATTTAGCTTTCATCCAGGTGATGGATTAACCACTATAAAAATAATATTGCGAGCAAGATTATTTTAAGTAATGCATAATGGTTATATTCATTAGATAAGAAGAATGATAAGGGAATCACTTTTTATAGAGGAAGACATTTAATAAGAAATATGATATCAGTGAGTTAAATTCAGATTGTTTTTTTTTTTTGTTTAGTTTTTTTTACAAAAGGAAAAATAGTATTTAGATAAGTTTACTTAACATAAATTGAATGGTGGTTTTATGTGTCACAAATTGAGTTATGAGTGATAGGATATATTTTTCACTGTATTTCTAAATGAATATTTGAATCCAGTAGAAAAGGAAAGATTTACAAACGCTGTTTAAGTGTTGCAGAAGATGAATAGTACACTTGTAATATATTACACAGTAAGCTTTTTTTTTTTGTGTTTTTTTGGAGCTATACACAATTATACATTGAAACCATGTAAAACATTGGGATCAAAAGAGGAGGAAAAGATAATATTAATGGTTTGAAATACAAGAAATGTGTGGCACAACACAAACATATATTTATATATATATATATTTTTTTTTTGTTTGTTTTTTTTAGATGCTGAGCCCTGTATACAAATAATATATAATAAGTAAGAAAGATATAGAGGTGTACATATAAATAAATTTAAATCACGAAAAAGGGAGATATAGGGAAAAGGATAGTGTGCGTATATATATTTTTTTGTCTCTCCCCTTCCTTTCTCTCCTACCACGACTTAGATCTTTTGTCAAAAACCTGGAGACGAAGAGAGTGGGGGGAGAAGTAAGGGAGATGGCAATCCATATATAATTAAATCCTAAATGTTATTCTTCTTCACTTCCCTATCTGCTCCCCTTCCTCCCGACTAATGGGAAAAGGCAATAGAATATAGGAAGAATCCGTGTATCACCCAGCAGCTCATCTTCATTCATAAATGAGTGAAGACTTAAGAGACCCAGTTACTACACACTGTCATGTATTCCCATACAATATAGGATCTACTGTCAATAGTATTTACTACTTGTTGTTTTTTTTTTTTTTCCTTTTCAGTAACTAGAATTGTATTGTTTTGTAATGTTTAAAGTAAATTTAATTATCGGACAGTAAAAAAAAAAGGTCTTTCAACTCTGAGAAAAGGTCCTCATCCAAAAGCAAGTTCTCTACAAATGTTCATGTTGTCAAAAACTAAATTAGAAAATGGTTACATTTCTATCCTTAAACGTTCAAGAAATATCATGGTCAGACCCCAGTGCAGTTACGTTAGAGCTAAAACAAAACCTATTTGAAGGAAAAAAATATTTGGCGCATGAACAACCGTATTTTAAACGATAATAAAGAAGTAAAAAAAAAGTTAAGAAAATATTAAGGAATTTTCCCAACATAATTATAAAGGAGGAATCTGCGCCCATGGTATGGTGCGCCTTCAAATCGGTTCTTAGAGGGCATTTAATTTAAAATAGTGAAAGGGTTAATGCTGTAATGGACTCAAATCCCCTCGATTCTCGATCCCTCGGTCACCATAATCATGTTGATGGAGAATCATTGTCAGCAATAAGACACGGACAACAGGATGCTTGACAAGACTCTCAAATGAGTGTATTCCAGAGCTAGCTTTTATACATAGTTTGCTTACATTAGCCATGAGATATGCCACACAGTACAGACTATAAGATTTATTACTTCCTTATATTACATGTTATTCTGACAATGGAAAGATAAGCTTTTGCATACGTCTGGGGAAGAATATCCTGAAATCGGAATGGGCAAGACATCCTGAGATTTAGCATTGTCTTACATCCTATAGAAGAAATACCTTAGTCTGTCACAGTCAGCATATTATGTCGTAAATTGAGTTTAACCATTTCATATCCTTTCAGTCAGCAATACTAATTATAAACCTTATAAAAGCATAAAATACATATGAACAAGTTAACTACCGTGTTTCCCCGAAAATAAGACCTACCCCGAAAATAAGCCCTAGCTGGATTATCGGGGTGGGCTGCAATATAAGCCCTACCCCGAAAATAAGACCTAGGCAGGGCCGGCGGTTGCCGGCCCTTTAAATGCCTCAGCCGCCTGAGCGCTCTCTGCTCAAACGGCTGCCACACTGCCTCACCTCCCCTTCCCTGTAGTGTGGCCGAGCTCCTTTCCGGTCCGCGACCCGCCCGGACTGACAGGAAGTGCACCGGATAGGAGCTCGGCCACGCTACAGGGGAGGTGAGGAGAAGATTGGAGGGGGGGGATAATATTACAGGGAGGGAGGGGGGATAATATTACAGGGAGGGAGGTGGGATAATATTGAAGGGAGGGAGAGGGAGGATAATATTACAGGGAGGGAGGGGGAGAGTATTACAGGGAGGAGGGGGATAATATTACAGGGCGGGAGGGGGGAGAGTATTACAGGGAGGGAGAGGTGAGGGTCTCTGGGGGGGTTACACAGCGCAGACACCGGCTGACAGACTGGCTCTAAGCCCTACCCTGAAAATAAGCCCTAGTGTGTTTTTTGTGACTAAAATTAATATAAGACCCGGTCTTATTTTCGGAGAAACACGGTATTTCATATTCCTTACATTTCCCCTCTTTGAGCAATTAATTTGCTCATCTTATAGATAAAATCTTACCAGGACAGGGAAACTTCCACATGGTATTTTCAGGGGTGCTAGTCACTCCCTGCGGGACTTTCATTAATTTCTTCACCTCGATTCCCATGTGGTAATTCCTAAGGCCCAGTTTAAAGATGGGTTGATACCCTCCAGTGCAGAGGGGAGAATTTTATTGTTTCTGTTCTGCATTATGGATTAATTTCTGTACTCTCTTCCTCAATGTACAAGTAAGGTGACAGTTATATAAAATCATACACAATAAAATCAGGACTATAATAACAAAAGGATAGAAGAATGATTTCATTATCTGGGATCCAGTAGGGGATCAACCAGTAAAGCATCGTACCAATGATGGGCTAAATCATTCTGAATTTGTGAACTCACCTTAAGGAGTTCTCATTTTAGGATATGTGTGGCTACCTGTGTGTGTTATCTTTGGGAAAAATATAGTCCCCTGTGTATGTGGGTGCCCACCAGGTTCAATTCTTGGCAAAAAGATCATAAACTGGTACTGGTAATGTGTTAAATTGACAAGCTAATTTAACATCCTATGATGTATGATATAATGTAAAATAGCATGAGCATGAAAAATGTGATACATTACCAGTTAACCATCCATTGCATTTAGTGGATTGGGGTTTTAGAAGTAACCATTCATTATCTGTGAGGTTACGCATTCCTCTAATCTTCTCTAGTTTAGGAATCATTAGTGTGTTTTCTAATGCCAATCCTTGTTGTTGTATCCATAAATACCTGATGGCACAAGTACTCCAGTTACTTAGACCTGTAGTGAATTTCATAGTTGCAACAGTTAAATTATCTAAATAATTATACATTGATTTATCTAAATCCAATCCTATAACCTGTGATTTAACAACAATTGGAGCCCAGTTTGCAGTAGCATGGAAACCAGTCCCTATATGCATGCTGGCCGTGTTTAACTTATTCTTGAGGGTCTCCATATCTATAACTATTTAGTATACCCATAGTGGTTCCAGCACCTCCTAACAGTGTGTCATACCATTCCCTTTTCTGCCTTTGTTTGTTGTGTTACATAATGTTACAACAGGAGTAGGGATTTTTAATGACACATGTACAGCTTGTAAGAAGGCAGTTGTATTAATATATGTGGACGGAATAGGTGTGTGTGTCGTTGTCGACTTTTGGTTCTATGGTAGAGTATAAAGGACAGTAATAAGGTGTTAAAATATAAGGTAGTGTATAGTTCTCAATTGCAGTGTCGTTCATAATGACTAACATTTATCCCCTTCTCCAATTAATGATACCAGTTATATAATCATTATTAAAAGTAATAAGGCCTGTCTGTTTACATTAATATGCAACCTTAACTGTGCACATTTCTGCGTTATAAGATCTAACAATTTTCTGTGAACCTTCAAACAAACAAAATGCATCGGTTTCATTAGCTGTGGACACATTTCATATGGGTAACTGGTACTTATAAGGGTTACTATTTGTCCAATTCATCCAAATGCGTTCAGTGAATGAATGATTGCATATTACATGCTGATAGAAAGGTGGTGGAGAAAGGTTCTTGAGGGGGCGTGTGTGACGAATGCTAGATGAGGGGCTAAGGCCTAATTGGGCTGGGGGTATTGAAGAATTGTTCATCATGTCAGAGTCTTTTTTCCAGAAACAAACAGGTTTCAAACTTGCCATTGACTTGTACTCATAATGGCATTCAAGGAACAATATCAGAGGGAGTATAACAACTCCAGAAAGCATAGCGCACAACATAATCTTGGTCTCAGGTACGTATGATCCTCTCAATCTACGATATGGTGTAAAAGCCATGATGCTTCGCTGAGGAGAAATTCTTCTGTTTCCGAGCGAGGAGTGGTGTTGTCTTCCTTGGTTCCCCTCTTTGGACACAGCTTCACTCGGGATGCGTGAATCCAGATGTCATGGGAATCTGTGAGGACAGCGGTTCTGGGTACAGTAATCACAGTAGCAGGTGGTCCAATAGGGTATCCTCCTTTCTTGGTCCTGTTCAGCTGACGGATATACACCTTGTCACCGGGCTGGTATGGAGGAGTAGGTTCCTGTGAAGGTAGGGGAAAACTGCGAAGAAACATTGTCATACATACCATTCGGTTTTATCAACAATTCCTGTACATATTGTTCTTGTATTAGCTGTAAATCCCCAGACATTATAACAAGGGGTTCCCTGGCCCAGGGTGTGGGAAAAGGTCATCTCATCAAAATCTCAAATGGAGATAATTTAGTCACCTTGTGGGGATTCATTCTTATCTCAGCTAAAATAGCTGGTAGATATATAGTCCAATTTACCCATGTTCCTGGGTAAATTCTGGGCTTTTCCTTAATAGTCCTATTCATCCTTTCTGTGGATGATAGGGTATATGAAACTGCCAGGTAACTTGCAAGAATTTAGCAAGTTCCTGGGCAACCCTACTGGCAAAAACCGGGCCATTATCAGAGCCAATCTGCAGAGGGCAGCCATACCTGGGAATAATTTCAGTCACAATAATCTTCTCTAGCATCCTCCCTAGATGTCACAAAGACCTCATACCATCTACTAAACTGATCAACTATGGCCAGTAAGTATTGCTGTTTCTTACCAATTTTGGATACATGCATAAAATCAATCTGTAAGTGTGTAAAAAGAGCAGCGTTCACACGATCTTACAAAAGACTGTACATGCTGCCTGAGATTCCTAATATAAAATGAATTCATGAGGAATTGAATGGTGCTTGCCATGTGCCTGACTGATGAAAATGAAGCAGCTTGCTTCAAGTATGCATATTCTCCCCTCTTTAGAGAACAGATCATTCTGATCTTTCTCTAAACCTTGTTTAATCCAAAAGACAGATTCTGGGTATTAAAAAAAAAAAAAATATCTCATAACCACTTAAGCGCTGGGCTGTCATGTGTTGTGTGGTGAGATTTGTTATCAGCTGAGTGACCTGGTGACTGGCATGAAGTATTGTAGGATGCCCTAGTGTGATAGTAGTAGCAGTTTCAACAGCCATTGCACATGCTATCAATGCTCTGAGACACGCCGGCATACCCTGTACCGGAGCTCGAACTACTTTGGAAAAGAATGCTATGGGACGCATACCGCCTCCTTGCTCTTGTGCACAGACCGCGGCCATGGTTTTACAATTGTCCCAAGCATACAAATGAAATGGTTTACAATACACAGGTAGTCCTAAAGCCTGGGCTTGCACAATAACAACTTTAAGGGCAATATATGCAGCTAGCATGTCTGGTGACCAGCAGACATTTTCAGGGCTGTCAGAACGTACAGCCTCCCTTAGGATTGAGTCATAATGGGAGCATTCAGGGATCCATTGGTGGCAGTAATTAATCATGCCGAGGAAGGTGAGCAACTCCTTCCGAGTAGTGGGTGTAGGAATCCTCTGAATGACCTCAATACGTTTTGGACTCAATTGTCTGGTGCCTGAAGCCAGAACAAAACCTAAGTATTCAACCTTTGATTTACACAATTGCATTTTGTGTTTAACAACCTTGTGACCCACAGTTGCTGACAGTATCCACAGTGCTTGCCTCATAGCTAGGGCTACATAACAACAAATCATCAACATTTTGCAAAAAGGACGGAACCATGACCGGTGGTCCATGTTTTTTAGAGTATGTTGGAGTACCAATGAATAAACAGCTAGGGAATCCACATAGCCTTGGGTAAGCGTGTCCAGGTAAACTGACAGCCTTCAAAAAGTAAAAACCATGAGTAGCTGTGTCTCTTGATCAATAGGTATAGAAAAAATGCATTACTTAAATCAATGACAGTGAAGCAAGTGGCATCATGTGGAATGGCTGTAATGAGGGATGTCACATCAGGGACAATGGGTGAAATGGGCACAATTAAACTATTCAGGACTCTAAAGTCCTGAACTAAGCAATATGCTGGCCAGTGGTGTTGGGAGTGGGTCTGGTGGTGTTCTTGCCTACTGGGCATATTTCGAGAATTGTGGGGTTGTTGGGGTGTGTGGGGTTTCCTGGGGTGTGGACACTCATTCCTCCAGTGGCCATATGGCCACAGTTGAAACAAGTGTTCCTGTCTATTCCTCCTTGGTTACCCCTGCCCCTATAACCCTGATTTCCCTGTCTCCATCTCCTTGCCCCTCTTTGACCACCCCTTCCACGGGCTTTATGTGCTCCATCCCATCCTCGCTCTCAGCCTGTGTAGGTGGACAGTGTTGCAATCCCTGAGCATAATAAGCAACCTTACTTCCCTAAATCTTTTCTTAATTCAAAACAACCTGCATTTTCCTTTTCTATAACCTTGGTAAGAAAATCTGAGCTATCCAAATTGGCCCAGTCTGAAATCAATTGTTTCACAAGCAAAGAATACTGTGGCAACATATTACCAAGGCATGACTGTATTTTAAAGAGATCTATATCATCTCTAGACATCAAACCTGCCTCATCCTTCCAACACTTGTAAATTTCTTTACAAAAATCATATTACCAATCTCTTCCTTTGCATCTTGCTTATATGCCAAAGCAGTGAATATAGACTGCTGATTCTTCCATAATCCCAACATTTCAGCTTCCACCTTGTTCCAAATTTTAGCACATCTTACTGAAGTACTAAGCTCATAATCACCAATTCATTTCAAACCATATAACTCATACTCAGCATCCAATGTAATATTACACGTCATCTCACAAAACAATATCTTTATAGAAACACATAATGGGTACCCAGCAGATATGCCAATACAGAAATCACATTTATGGGCACACAACTACACACTCTGTCTCCCTCCTAGGAAACAAGGATAGACACAATATAAAAGCAATCTTAAACTAACACCTCCAAATCTCCAACTATTCTTGGCCAAAACGCAAGTATTCAACAACTAATAAAAGTTATTTGCTAGGTTATTTGGCTGTCATTCTTATCAGTATCACTAGACTGTGACAAACTGATTCACATATAATTTAAAACAATACAGCAACATATAAATTAAACCACTTTCAAGTTAAACTGCACACTTATCACACATTATCACAATCACCATTTACACAGAATAAACAGTTAACAGCTGTATTCAGAACATATTATTGGAAGGTATACCAATTTTAGTTTAGATTTATTTTAGGGATTCTTATGTATACATTTTCTTAATTAACTTCATTACTTTAATCTACTATAGTATTGTATATAAAGAAAGGATCCATTTATATAGCGCGCTCATAACTCAACTATTTGTATAAAACTTCCATTAACTAATCTGAGATGATGCTGCATCAACTTAAATCTTATAGAAATTGAACAAACATCTGGACCAGATTAAACAGACATGGTTTCACCAGAATCTTTCAGAACTCTCAGAGACTTAATAAAAACATTTTTATTCTATACCATGTTTTAAAGGCATGGCAAACCTTAACTGGTCAGTCTCCAAGAGCCTTAGTACAACAGGTAGAAACCTTTGTCCATGATTTCTGATCCAGGCTATATACCACAATTTAAAATAACACATAATGTGAGACATAGAAGACATAAGCAGTAGTTATTACACTGGATCATTTAAAAGGAATCTGTCGCAATAAAAAGGTTAGTTTACAGCGCAAAATAAAGCATGTGTTGGACCGCTGAAAATGTAAATGTTCTGTTATTTTCAAACATAAATCATATTTAGTATGGATCCTTTGCAACAAACACATAGGGCAGGGAAGATGTGCTGATTGGTGTTTCTATACAATTAATCCCATATGGGGAATTAACTTTCAAATACTAATGAAGTGCTTCGTTTTTGTCTCAGTATAAAATATACTGAGCTCATCATTTTAAAAAAAAAAAAAAATGTAACTCATTTACACTTATCCCACTCTCATAAAAAGTGTAGTGGGCTTATGGTATTTTTAAAGCAACAATCATACCAGGCACACAGATCCCATGTGAAATAACTTACAATAAAACAGAGTAATAAACTTATACTTCTATGCAACAGAAAGAATAAAGTAAAAAGATTTAAGTAGGTCTATCAGGTACAACCTGTGAGTCATTTCTTTTCTAATATACAGTACTGCTATCTTGCAGAAAGATAAGTCCTGCGCTCACTCCCATCACTACTGGGCAGCAGCAAGGACTACAGTACACATCAGCCCCAATATATGGTAAAAAAAAAAAAAAAAAAGTTACCTGCGTTCTCTCCTTTATTCCTATGTATTTTTAAAACCTCCATTTGTTTAAAAGTACTATTTTATATATACACATATTCATATACACACACATATATACATACATATATTGGTCACTCAGGACCTGAACTCACATTTCCCATACTGCTGACTCAGAGTGGGGACACTACTAACTTACCAAAGTGTGTCCCCAATATAGACAAACAATCACCCACAAAGAACACTTAAGACAAACAAAGGTGACCGGGAGAAAGAGAAGTTTGGGTTATACTAATAGATCTATAAACCGTGCTCCTCAGAACACCTATAGTCTTAATAAACCGGAGACCTCTTATGGTCTCAAAAACCTGTATCTACCTGAGATACCCTGTATCTATCTTAGATACTAACCTGGGTTACCAAAACCCTATATATTTAGACCAAATGTCTAATAAACCGGAGACCTCTTATAGTCTCAATATAACTAGAGTCCTTACACCTTTCCTATCTACTGGATACAGACTTACTGAACCAAAGGGGGGTCATAGACAATCAGCGTCAAATAAGACACAAAAAGGCTACTCACCGCAATGGTTTTGCTGATCCATCCATCCCACTTCTAGACACCAAGCTGAAAGGGTTAATGCTGTAATGGACTCAAATCCCCTTGGTTCTCGATCCCTCGGTCACAATAATCAATGTTGATGGAGAATCATTGTCAGCAATAAGACACGGACAACAGGATGCTTGACAAGACTCTCAAATGAGTGTATTCCAGAGCTAGCTTTTATACATAGTTTGCTTACATTAGCCATGAGATATGCCACACAGTACAGACTATAAGATTTATTACTTCCTTATATTACATGTTATTCTGACAATGGAAAGATAAGCTTTTGCATACGTCTGGGGAAGAATATCCTGAAATCGGAATGGGCAAGACATCCTGAGATTTAGCATTGTCTTACATCCTATAGAAGAAATACCTTAGTCTGTCACAGTCAGCATATTATGTCGTAAATTGAGTTTAACCATTTCATATCCTTTCAGTCAGCAATACTAATTATAAACCTTATACAAGCATAAAATACATATGAACAAGTTAACTATTTCATATTCCTTACAAATAGGAACGCAAATTAAAAGGAAAAATCCAACACAACTTCCGGATTTTGATATATTGCTGTCACGATTCGACAGACAGCCAGGCATGGCCATTTCACAAGTGCCAGACTGTGGGGATATTTATGGGATGATAATATACAGTTGAGAATTGCCCACTATTTCAATTCTCTTAGGTCTTGGAGATCGTTATCATGTAAATTAAATGTATTCCATACAAATAAAATCACAATTTGTTATAAAATATAATTTATTGTGACAAATAAAAAAATAATAATAATATTAGGCAGCATGCATGATAATAATCAGTGAATATTTAGTATAACATAAGTAAGCAATACAATGGCAATGTTAAAACTATCCAAAGGCTAACAGCATCAACTGTCAAGACTTAACAAGATTTATGAGGGTACTTCACAGAAACAGAAAGCTAAACTTCTAGCGAAAAGCCAAAAACCTTGGCTAACAGTTAGATCAACTGAGTAACCCTTTCAATGCTGGCTAGATCCTCCTAGGCATATAATATCCTATTCTCATGTAATTTTCAATTAAAATAACATTCAAACCAGCTCATTAATAATTTCCTGGAACCATCCAATAAGAATAATCTACTAGATTTTTACAAAAGCCGAATTTAACTCTACCTAAGATATATTATCTTATTTTAGAGCAAATCAATACACATGGATAAAAACAGCGGTATGCTAACACGTGGTTAGATACCAGTACTATGTAATGCTCTGACTCCACCTGCAGAATGGAGTGTTATAACCGCATATTCTTTAGTTAACTAAGATTTCTCAATTATTGAAATCTGACCGTGATGTATCCAGTCATATATCATGCTATTAGTAAATTTTTAACTAATTTAAATTAATTACATAAAACCAGCATAATTACCAGTTATGTAGATGTTCTCATCAGATGAGTAGGTAGTCCCAGGAACTCGAATGCGAGTATGATTGGTTGTATGGAGGTGTGTAAGTAATAGAGAAAAGTGATGGTTAGAAAGTAATAGTAAAATTCTAAGTGTCATGGAGTGTTTCTTGAGTTGTGTCCAAGAGAGTTTGAGGGTTAGTGCCAGAGTGTCTTGGATCTCTCTGCATGTCCGAATCTGAATGTCCAAACTCACCTTCTCTCTTCCCTTTGTCCTAACTTTTAAAGGGCCAGACTCTCTGGAAGTTATTAGTTGATAAGGCCAATAGCATACTGAAGGTGTGGGCAACCTGCAGATCGCAATTTAGATATTTGATCCATAAAGGGCAGTCTCGCCTCACTAAACCTTCCTATCCAGGAAAGAGTTAACTTTTCCTGATGACGATTTTGACATCATTTGGCTTATCTAAAATGACTACCATAACTTAAATTTGCTGTCAGTTCAAAGCGTTTGCCTCAGACTTTGTGGCAACGACTTTGATCGTAATTTCTAAAATTGACCTTCTAAACTCAATTTCACCCCTTACTTACAATGGGACCTTGTAAGATTTAGAAAGTAAAATTAATTACGGAGTCTTCTCTGTCACTAGTGTCTGTGTTTATTTCTATTCCATTAAAATTTAAACAGAGCATTCCATCCCCCTGCTTCATTGTTTATCATTTGGCTTGTTTACATAATGCATTCCTTAGCTCAGGTTAGTGGCTAGTTACAGAAAGGAAAGAAATTTTGTGTTTTTTAATTTCTATCTTGGCACAAAATGTCTGCCGATATAAATATCCTGACAAGACTGTGGTCCTTCTGTGCCATAATCCTGCTATCTTGCTTCTGGGCCACACATCAGTTCTTATTTCTGTATCATGTTTATCCTTGTCTTGTCTCCCACACTGGGGGCTGTATTTTACCTGGGGCTGCTCCTATCAATCTCGGCTCACCTGAAGCTGATCCCCAATAAGCCAGGTATAAGACACTGCTTCTCTCTGTGTGCAGTGTCCGTTCATTGACTCTGGTTCCTGTGTTTGTGATCCAGTGTTCTCCAGTCGGCTCCTGACCTTGGCTTATTATCGTGTGTCCTGACCTCTGGCGACCTTTGACTTTGGCTTACCCTCGTTTATCCTGACTTTTGGCTTATCCTCAACGATTCTCCTTCTTGTGTCCTTGGCTGCACTGCGACTCTGAGCAATATCCTGCACAGCCCCTTACCCCCACCCCTCCCTGTGCACAGACTCACAGGCCAGGTGGTTCCTTATTGTATAGTCAAAATACGTGCTGAGGTCAGGGACATAGAATCAGGCACAAAGATGAGGGAAAGTCAAACGTCAAGGATACCAGATATCAGGAAAGTCATAACAAAACCAAAGTCAAATACCAGAAAATCAAGATCAGGAACGCACTCTCGGATAACCATAGGCATGAAACCACGACAGGGCAATGAGCCCTCCTCTGGATCTGATTGGCTGTAACCGGCCTTTGAACCCAAAGGCAATTACCAGGTGTGCATAATTGCTGCTCAGCTAAATCCTCCTGTGGATTTGATTGGCCATGATCGGCCTTTGATCCCAAAAGTAATTACCAGGTTTCCATGTTCATGATTGCTGCACAACTTTTCCTGTCAGGACGGTAATATTGCTTGGCACATCTTTTCCTGTCCGGACGGTAAATGCCATTAACCAAATTTTTATGTGCGGATGAATACGTGACAGTGGTAAAATGAGCGCAGATATGATACATATATGGTGGTCATGTCCTGAAATATGCAAGGTCTGGCAGATAATATTTAAATGGATATAGATGTGGACATTAAAGAAATTAGAATACTCTCCTGCATCTGCATCTCTACACATAGGTTGGCAAATAAGGGAAAAAGACAAACGAGATCTAATAATCCATACTTTATTAGCAACAAAATTACACATAGCTAAAAATTGGAAATCACACCATCCACCAAAAATAGCCGATAAACTCCAAATTATAAATCAATGTCAAATGGAACAAGGGATAAATTAATATTTTAATTTAAGCAATGATACAAGATGGAAGAAATGGATAGAAAAGATTTTTTTTTAAAGTAATAATTATGAGAGGAAAAAGGGGGGATTATTTTGAAAGGAGAAGGAAGAGGTTAAAAAGATTGAAAAACACAGTTAATAAAATCTTAGAGGTAAATGAGTTGATAGACGTAGGATATAAGAATAAAATCTGAGGAATTATGTTGATATGTTCTGCTATACCTGCTATAGGATTTAGGGAAGAAAGAGGAAAAGGAATACATTAAAGGAAACGCTAGATAGTAGTATACCATATGAACATCAGCTTATAGGATAAAGGATTACATAGGTGTAGTATTGTATGTACATGCACACACCGGGCGACTTCCTCACGCAAGATGAGGCGTCCAATATGGCACCTTCCTCACCAAGCACCACACTGTCAGAAGAAGGCCCAGGCATAGGACTTAGTGGGCCTGCCACGCCGGCACCGGACTGGTATGCTCTGTTCGCGTCCCTACCCAAAAAGGAAGACTTCCATTCCCTCCTAAAGGAGGTTAAAACCACTCTGCGCACAGAAATTTCAGCCCTTGGTACTTCCCTTACAGCACTGGAGACCAGAGTGCAGGCCCTGGAATCCCAGAACCCTGACCTGCACTGCCCCGCAGTCACAACTACGAAAGCACACGCCAGATACAAGACCTGCACCTCCACGTTGAGGATCTGGACAATCGCAGCCGCAGACACAACATCCGGGTAAGAGGCTGCAGGGAAACAGACACCCCAGAAGACACGAGGGCCATCCTGATACCGCTCTTCTACCGCAATCTGGGCCGGCCCAGGGACGCCCGCATCCCCATAGATAGAGCCCACAGGGCACTGAGGCCTAAGCCACCTCCGGGCGCCCCTCCCAGGGACATAATCTGTCACATACCAGACTTCCAACTCAAGGAGGACATAATGAGGAAAGCCCGGGTAAAAAGAACCTGGAGACATGAGGGGCAGACTATCGAACTGTATAATAACCTCTCCCACTTCACCCTGCAGGCCCAAAGAGCGCTGCGGCCCTTAACCGCCGCCATGCAGGAGGCCCAAATTCGCTACTGATGGCAATTTCTGTTCGCCCTTATAGCCCGCCGGGGCAACACAGAAGCCACAATCTGGACACCTCAAGACGTCCAGGCCTTCCAAGAGGCCCTCGACCTCCCACAAACCCATATCATGGACTGGACCAATTGCCTGCTAAATGAACGCCTCATAGGAAGACCTACCCGCCGCAACATACAGCAGGGACCGGACACCGACTTTGCCCCTCTTCAGCAAGCGGAACCTAAGGAATAGAATGGGTACTGCCCATCTACCTCCCCACAACACACGGCATCTAGCTCCGGCCCAGACACCGTAGGGTCCAACCTGCCGGAGAAACAGCAGGGGAGACACTTCATCCATAGACTTTGCTCTACTATTGCCCAATGTGGAACACGAGGCCTCTCTCCCCTCCCCCCTTTTTTTCTCTCCTTTTCTGTTGCTCACCTGCTGAATTATAGCACTTGCACCACTCGCCCACCTGGGGTCCAAGTGCAACAGAAAAACACTGCCACAACTACCGGAAGACACCTTGCCCTGGACAACCCCAAGAGCCATCCAGCTTGTTAAGGACAACCAAGCATCACCAATATGACCACCAGCAAGCCAAACCGAATACCTATGGCTAACTTACCGACCTCCCACACGAGCTACTCTGCACTGGACTGGACTTGCCCCCCCCATGATGGGATGGGATGTTGACTCCTACTAAACACGTTCCAACACTCTCTGGGAGTCCCCCATCCACAAATAAGGGGACTGACACTATTATACCACAATGGACGCTCCCCGGGAGAAAACAGAAGAAGAGAGAGACCAGAAGTGCAAGTACAACCCAGGGGACCACAACCCCTCCAGACACATCACCAGCTACATACAGTACATAGGATAACACACACAGAGACAGGAGCCAAGCTCCACCTCAAAAGACACACTCGCACAAACAAGAACATGTAGCTCCACACCACACACTGGAGACAACATAGAGACACAGACATCAGAGAGACTGGACACTTGTGCTCTGCCTAGCAATGGTCGCAATGTTAAATCTGTGTAAAACTTAGGATAAAGTCACTTGTCTATGCTTTGATGTAAAACCTGTAGGTGCTGAACCGACAGTGAAAATACAATGTGTAACCAATTCTTAATACTAAGAATGTTAGCTACTAGAGAGGAATAAACACAACTCCCCCCACTTGATGGGTGCCACATTACTCTACACCTCCAAACTAAGGAGCAGCGGGGGCCGGAAGTGGACCGACTGAGACACACCACCCAATGAGAGGTCACTACCCTCCCTCCGACACCACCAACCCCACGGGTTTGCTGCCAACCACCTGCTGGGTGGACACCGGGGACAACACCCCTAGATTCCCACCTAACAGCGGCACATTGCCCCTAACTACCATCGCCCCAGTGACTTGACAACACCCATACTTGCTGCCCTATACCACGCGCTTCTATACCCTCTATCCCCCCTCTTCCTCCTTCCCTCCCTCACCCCTCAGACCTCCACCTTCCCTCCTTACGTTTGCCTGCCCGTACCTCCCCTCACCCTCGACCACCCCACTCCACCGTCTGTTCCGGCCTGGGTAAGACCCCACAATATGGCCTCGCCCCCGGTGCGGGGAGATACAACAGAGACAGCCTCAACATCTATACGATCAATGCGAGGGGCCTCAACTCCCCAAACAAACGGGCCAGAGCGCTGCGAGAGATCAAAGCACTGGGGGGTATCGATAGCCTTTTTCCAAGAAACCCACTTCCACGCACGCCAGGCTCCAAAGTTCTCCAACAAATACTACCCTACCGGCCACTTTGCACACAATCCCTCGACTAAATCCAAGGGAGTGGCCATACTATTCTCAGTAGACATCCAGTTCCACCTTGAAGCAGAGGAAAAGGAAGCAGAAGGCAGATACCTCTTCCTCAAAGGAAAAATAGGTGACTCTAAAATCACGCTTGTGAACTTATACCTTCCAAATAGGGGAAACATTTGGAGAAGGAACCCTCATAATCGGAGGGGACTTCAATGCCTCCCTGGACCCAAGAATGGACACATCGAAAGGAACATCCACGATACCGGAACACGTCCTCAGGGGAATGAGGACCCTCCTCTTGAACCACCAACTTGCAGACTCCTGGCGCATCCTCCACCATGCAGAAAGAGACTACACCTACTACTCGACACCACATAGATCCTACTCGAGGATAGATTACTTCTTCACCCAACACAGAGACCTAGACACGCTGATAGCTGCTCGCATAGCGCCCATGACCTGGTGGGATCACGCACCAGTGATCCTTACCGAAAACCCCAAGCCCTTCATTTTGCAATGGATGTGGAAATTAAATAAATCCCTCCTAGAGGACCCACTAGTTCAAACAGAGCACTTCTTTCTCACCAACAAGCCACCTGACTCCACACAGCCCACTATCTGGAGGGCACATTAATGTGTCATCTGGGGGATCCTTATTAAACACTGCACCCGCCTGAAAAAATTGCGCGAAATCATGCACCTCGTCACCCAGGTAGCCCAACTGGAAGCAAAACACAAACATACCCTCCACGACGCCACCCACAAACAACTCCTAGAGGCCAGAGCGAAACTCAATTCTTGCCTACAATCAAAGATCCAATTCCAGTTCCATCTCACAAACAGCGGCAAATTGCTCGCCAGGGCGCTGAGAGCGCGGAGGCAAAAATGCCACGTTCAAAAGATCTCCACGGCGGGGAAATTCATGTTCACACCAAAAGCCATAGGCAAGGGCTTCCGACAATATTACTCCTCCCTGTACTGCCTACCCCCGAACACCTCACATACAAACACTACAGAGGAGACCTTCGCAGCATGCCAGAAAGCATATATCGCACAGAACCTGACTTCCAAGCTCTCGTCTCAAGCTATAACTACACTGGAGGAAGATGTCACGAACGAAGAAATACATTTAGCAATTAAACTGGCGAAACGGGAAGAGCCCAGGACCGGATGGGTATACGGAGAAATACTATAAGATGTTCGCAGACGATCTCACCCCACATCCGCTAACCCTATACAACTCCATCCACAATGGAAGCTCACTGGACACCAACATGCTTCTAGCCCATGTCATGGTGATACCGAAAGAAGGAAAGGACCCGTCCTCATGCACCAGCTATCGACCAATATCCCTGCTGAATGCCGATCTCAAGTTGTTCGCCATGATCCTGGCACTACGCCTCCAACCTTTACTACCGGACCTCATCCACCCTGACCAGGTGGGATTTGTGGAGGGACTGGAGGCCAGGGACAATACCATCAATGCACTCAATCTAATCCACGCGGCTAAGAGGAGACCCTCACCCACCCTGCTGGTCTCAACGGACGCAGAGAAGGCGTTCGACAGGGTGGACTGGGCCTTCTTTCTGTCCACACTAGAGAACCTTGGGATGGGACCACATATGATGGCACGGATATTGGCCTTATACACCAACCCGGCTGCCCTGCCCTACAAGTAAACGGGACACGAGACAGGGATGCCCGTATCACCCCTGCTCGACGTCATCAGCCTGGAGCCGTTCCTTAATGCCATTAGAACCCAACCCGACATCTCGGGGATCGTTGGCAGCTGGGGAGGCAGCAAAGTCTCTGCATAGGCGGACGATCTCCTGTTTACTATCACCAATCCAGCACCCTCCCTCAGAGAACTAATGCATCAATTTGACACATATGGCACGCTATCGAACCTAAAAATAAACTTCACTAAATCGGAAATACTCAACGTGGAATGCCCCCACACACTAGTAGCCATGATTCAAAAAGACTTCCCCTTTCACTGGTGTACCAAAGCAATCAAATACCTGGGGACCTAGCTATCGGCAGACCTCACAGACACTTTTCGAATCAAATTCCCACCCCTCCTCGACCAGATAAAAAGATGATACACAAGAGGTAATGTTGATGTAGACCACAATAGAGAGGGTGAGTTGGACTATGTCTATATATATATATCTAAGCAATATGTAGATAGAATGGTTAAAGGGGGGGAAGGAGAGGAAAGATCTGAACTATTCTATTTAAGAGTTGGAGGGATATGTTGAATAGAATCAGAATAGCAACTTACTGCAATATGGGTTTTTAAACTAATGCGATCCTAAACCCCAGACAAGTTGATTCATACATTGAAGGCTATAGTATTAGCTTGGTTTTTGATGAGGTCTGGTAAATAAATTTTCCCTTTTTTTTTTTTTCCTCCTCCTCATTAGTGTCTATATTTTTGTATTTACCGGTAGGTTTATTTAGGTAGATATATGTTTATAGGTCTCCCTATTCCTCTTCCTTTGGGATATGCTTCATATTCCTTATTACTTCTGGGAATTATAACGATTGGGGGTAGGGAGAGGAGAGGGAGATTAGTACCAAAATAATGGTTAGCAATATATAACATCGAGTAACGACAGTTTGGTAATATATTGGGTTCTGGCTCTAGGAGCCAGTGTGGTCAAACATTACAAGTAAAATCGATAGCACTGTGGAGTGCTATTGGATTAACTATGGGTTAGATATTTGGAATGCCGTTTGGTTTTTTGAGGAGTTTTGAGTTCTTCCTCCTCTCCCCGGGGTCTCTTTCCTGCAATTATAGGCAGGTCTCGTTCAGGGGGCTCCATGCACATGCGTGTGTGCGTATATATGTATGTGTACATATACATGTGTATGTTTCCCCACTGGATTTCCAAGAGGTGGTTTGTTCCCCCTCTTGATTTATTCTTTATGTTTTATGTATTTTACAATGTAAATGGGTTCTTTTTTGTATGTTCTTATTTTTTATTTTTGTTTTTCTGAGACTCGATTTGGGGTGTAATCATGACAATGGGTGTTATGATGGCACTTAATGTGATATCATGGAATGTCCAGGGTTTGAATTCACCACAGAAAAGGGGAGCGGTCTACAAATTCCTAAATGGAAATGATATTGATATTGCTTTTATTCAGGAGACACACTGGATCAATCCCCCAGAGAGACTTTGGAAGTTTAAGAAATTCCCTTTGTTATTTTCCTCCAACATGGAGGGGAACCAAAAAAAAAGAGGCACCGTTATTATAATTTCTAGTAGAATTAATTTTGAAATGATACATCTAACTGGGGATCCAATGGGAAGATATGTGATACTTGTTGCAAAACTTAATGGCTCTATATATACCTTGGTTAACGTTTATGCACCAAATTCATGCTCAGGAGATTTTTTGGACAAAATTATGGAAAGGGTTGATGAATTAGCATGTGGTAACATCATAGTTGGGGGAGACTTCAACTGTGTATTGGATCCAGCCCGGGATAAAAGCCATAGGAATGTTAGAGACTATAAATTTGTAAATACCCACGTCTCTGATTTTTCTAAATTTTTAGACAGGAATTCCCTATTTGATTGTTGGAGGACTTTGAATCCCAGTGAGAGAGACTACACTTTTTTTTCACATGTTCATCAGACTTATTCCCGAATAGACATGTTTTTGGTGAGAGCGGGGTTTTTGAGTTCTATTATTAAATCCAATATTGGATCTATAGTTGTATCAGATCATGCACCAGTATTCATTAAGGTTAAGTTAAAAGGTGGTCTTAGACCACGGACAAGGTGGAGACTTAACGAAAGCCTATTGAAATCAGAATGCAATATTGACTTTTTGTCATCAGAAATTGAAAACTTCCTGATTACCAATGATAATGGGGAAGTTTCCACGGCAACAGTATGGTGTACCCTTAAAAGTTTTGCAAGGGGTTTATTGATTAAACTTGGCTCAGAATCCAAAAGGAAGAAGGGAGAATCTTTGCAAGAGTTAAGAATAAGATTGGCAAATAAGGAACGTCTAAATAAAAATATGGTGAATAAAGATCTAATTGAAGAAATAGCTAAATTGAGGGAATCTATCAAAGAAAGAATTTATGATACGGTCAATAAAAATATATTATTCCTTAAACAAAGATGGTACCATAATAACAATAAAATAAATAAAGATCTCTCTAATAAAATCAAGAACAATCTCAAAGATAAATTTATAAAAAAAATTGTCTTAGGTGATAAACACTTAGTGTCACCTAACGATATTGTTAATGCATTTGCAGAATTTTATAAATCTTTATACAATCTAAAGGAGGTAGGAAGGAGTAGAGATGAAATGGATTTATTTTTGAGTAACCTTAAATTACCAAAAATTAACCAAAGCAAGTTGGAAATGTTAAATGCTCCATTTTTATTATCAGAAGTAACAGAAGTAATAGAGAAGTTAAAATCGAATAAGGCTCCAGGCCCAGATGGTTTCTCAACAATGTTTTATAAAACCTTTTCTAGACTTATTTCTCCTATCCTATTAGAGATGTTTATGAAGGCGTCCGCGGACAATCCTTTTCCCAATGAGATGCTACTGGCCTCTATCATTCCTATACCTAAAGTAGGGAAAGACCCAACACTTATTATTAACTATAGACCCATATCTCTCATTAACTTAGATATAAAGATATTCTCTCAAATACTATCTAATAGACTTAAAGAGGTAATTGGAGATTTGATTGATGTTGATCAGTCTGGATTTGTGCGAGGGAGAGGTACTACAGATAATACACGTAGGACATTCAATTTAATACATAGAATAAAGGAGCATAAATGGGGATCTGTTATTGTGGCCCTCGATGCCGAGAAGGCCTTTGACAGAGTCAATTGGAGATTCCTGGACTCTGTCATGGGCCAATTTGGCTTGGAGGGTCAGTTTAGACATAATACTATGTTGTTATATAGGAGTTCTACTGCCAAAATAATTAACCCTCTTGTTGAGTCTAACCATTTTGAGGTCAAAAATGGTACTAGACAGGGTTGCCCTTTGGCCCCCCTGTTATATATTCTTACAATTGAACCTTTGGCCACTATGATCAGACAAGATACCAACGTAAAGGGGGTTAAGTCTCTAAATGGGGAAACCAAGGTCTCCCTTTTCGCAGACGATGTCCTCCTTACCCTGACGGACCCGATGGTTTCAATTCCATCAGTACTTGATATTATATCTAACTATAGTAGCTTTTCGAACTATAAGATTAATATGAAAAAAAACCAAATTTTAGCCTCTTTTTTTATCTGAGGCTCAGAAAGATTTTTTGACAGCACATTTCCAATTTTCATGGGCAAACGATACTATTGGGTATTTGGGGATCAAAATATCTTTTGATATAGAGAGGATGATACAATCAAACTATGATACATTACTAAGAGATTTGCAACAACTGGTAGATAACTGGAGGAAGATTGAGTCCTCATGGATAGGAAGATTAAATATGATCAAGGCATTTCTGATACCTAAACTTATTTACTATTTTAGGGCGATTCCTTATAGAGTGGGGAAAGGTATTCTTAATCGTTTTCAAAGTTTGATTTCCAAATGTATTTGGGCTAATAAACCACCTAGGATAGCTTTTGATACTCTTTGAAGGAGCTACCAGAAGGGCGGTATAGCATTTCCAGATGTTGACAAATTCCATGAAGCATGTATGGCGACTCATCTTTTACAGTGGCTAGACAAGGAACGGGGATCTATATCCTGGCTTACTCTAGAACAAGAAGATAGCCCTAGATATAGATTGTTTGCTCTTTTTTGGATGGGTTTGCTAAATTTGGGCGAATTTGATACCAAGAATTTCTCGAATCGAATATTGATAGATATGATTAATACTTCTAGAATTCTAAATAAAAAATTGAAGCTAGAGGATAAATTATTATATATAGTCCCATTAGTGGTCCTACAACACATAATGGATAATATAAATGTTCAATCTTGGATACAATTAGGCCTAACGAAGATCTCGGACTTATGGGATGGAGTTAAACCCATCCCATTTATACAACTGCAAGAAAAGTTTAACCTTTCCCCTAGAGATCTTTTCCAATATCTAAGGATTAAGAATTTTATTCTATCTCGGACTATACTTAAGGACCACATTGTTAATCCCCTTATTGTATTATATAAAAAGAAGGGAGGGATCTCTAGATTTATTAAGGTGCTAGAATCAACGGAACAAGACTCTCATGCTACCTCCTTTATTAAATGGGAACAAGACATTGGGGAATCCTTTTCACTTCTGGAGTGGACTAAAGCTACACTTCTAGTTAAGCGTTATATACACAGTGTTTCTCTCTATGAAACACACTTAAAGATAATATATAGGTGGTATATGGTACCGGCTAGATTATATAAAATATCATCTGTCTACTCTAAGTACTGTTGGAGATGTGGAAATGAGGAGGGTACTATTTACCATATATGGTGGGAGTGTCAAGGTCTTGATAGTATAAAAACCCAAATGCTTGGCCTTATTAACTCTATCTTTAAGGAGATAAAAGTGATTAGCCCTCAACTTTTTCTCTTTAATATTGGTTTTCCCTCAAGATAAATATCAAAAATATCTTTTGACCCATATATTTTTTGCCATTAAAATATGTATAGCTAGGGCTTGGAAATCCTCTATTCCATTAATATGGCATAATATTATGGAGCAAATAGATTACCAATACAGGATGGAAATAAATCCTTTCTTCGGTATCAGAGACGTGACCAAACTATGGCTACCCTGGACAAATAGATAGAACCCCATTTCGAGTCTCAGAGGATGTAATTTATTCTTTTTGTTTTTTGTTGTCTGTTTGTTTAATTTTTGGTTGTTCTTGTAACATTCACCTTTGTATAGGGTTGTCTCAATGTGTTGGAGGTCTGCCTCTGAGGTACCCCACATGTAAATGTAAAAAAAAATTTTTATATGACAAATAAAGAAATATAAAAAAAAAAAAGACCTGAGCTCCTGGCAACTTCCACACATTACATGGATAGGGAGGATCAGCGTACTCAAAATGAACATACTCCCACGACTCCTATACCTCCTGCAAACCCTTCGGATAAACATCCCCAAGAACCTGACAGATCCTGGCAGAATGTGTGGTACCGCAAAAGGGCGAGACTGAACTTCGCCACCCTCACAAAACCTAAGCAACACGGGGGAACTGGGACTACCTGACCTGGCTAAATATAGGCGGGCCGTCCATCTCCAGCGCCTCATCGAATGGACACATAACCCGGAAAATAAACTTTGGATCCTGATAGAGGCGAGCTTCTCACAAGTACCCCTCCCCCATGGTCGGCGAGCTTCCAAAACAACACCCAACCCTAAATGCCACCCTGACTGTCTGGAGAAGCATGGCACCGCACAGAGACATGGCCCTAGAGCTCTCGTCTCTGTCCTATTTCTCACAACCCAAGATTTCCCCCGGTGGCAGACCCTCGCTACGTGTCGACCCTGGGGCTTGCCATACCCCTGTAGACTAAAAGACGTGTACAAACAAGGCACCATCACGCCCCTGGGAGACCTGGTCCCGAATACCCCTCACAACTGGCTACTCCGCTTCCGATACCACCAACTGACGAGATCCCTGAAGCACGTACCTGAGCTGTACCCAGCATCACGAACGCTCTCTACCTTCGAAACAGTCTGCATGAACCCCCCTACCCCACCGCACGAAGCTCACTCCTTTACAGACTACAAATCACACCTCCCGCTGATGCGCCTCTCCCTTACTTCACTAGATACTGGAAAAGAGACCTAGGACACGCACTCACTGGGGAACAGTGGACCACAGTGTTTACACTCACGCACAAAGCTTCCATAGCCACAAGATTCCAGGTAGCAGGATATAAAATGATCTCACATTGGTAAAACACACCAGAGAAACTATCAGTAATGAAGGCCACCTACGAACCGGAATGCTGGAGATGCGGGAGGGAACTGGGAACTCTCTTTCATATCTGGTTGACCTGCCCACCCTTTTGGGAAGAAATCCATGCAGCCCTAGTGACAGTAACGGACGCGAACCTACAACTCACACCTGAAGCCTACCTGCTCCAACTGACCTCAATCCCCATAAACAAATACAAAAAAATCTGTGATACCACACCTAATAAACACGGCCCGTAGCCTCATTCCGGGACACTGGAAAAAACCCACGGCCCCAACGCTGGGAGAGTGGATGACCAGAGTGGAGGACAGCAGACGAATCGAGGAGCTCATCCTCTCGGCGGCGGGACACATACAACGTTGCCATGACACCTGGTACCACTGGCTACGGTGGCTCGCCTCCGCCTCAGTACAAGGAGGAAACTCACAACCTGCTGGAACAACATGGAGTCTCTTGGCCCCGGTGGGTATGGGGGGAGCAGGGATGGGGCCTGGGCCCGGACCCCCCCTATCCCGCCCCTAATCCCTCACACCCCATCCTTCCTACCCTGAACCCACCCGTACCTTCTTACCCCTACCCTCCACTATTATCCCCTAGCCTTCCTCCTGGCAACTCTGGCCACACACAATCCACCAGTGATGAAACAACACAGAGACAAGTAACGACACAAGACAACCAATATACGCACACCCCCCTCCGGACACAGAACGAACGCCACATACCATAACCCCACGAATGCTCATGGGACACGACACATGACAAACACACCCACGAGACAGCACCCTAGAGACGGTTCCCACACAACACACCACCCAACAGACCGCTGACCCCACGCATCAGACTGCCCCGGACGCAGCAACATCCCGACACATGTCCCTCTGCTGCCCACAGGTCACCCCCTCCTTACCACCCCTGAACACCAGGCTTCGGGCCTCAAACCCGAAACCCAGTGAGATGCTTCCTCCGCGGGAATTAAGTGCTAAGAACCACAGCATATCCCTACCAAGCAATGTACCCACATAAATTCCTCCCCAACAGGGAAATCTTCCAATAGCAAGCAAGGTTAGACGGAGTGTATAATACACTCCCAAACTGATAATTGTATTACCTTGCCGGAATACATAGCACTGCAATCTAACACATATATGTTCACACTCATCTGTAACTACTGAACGACTTAAAAAACGCAAAGCCTATCACAAACATGTTTATTTTATACGAAATTGTGCAGCATTTACTCATGCCATATCACTGTCCACTTCGAGTTGCAAATATCTGCTACTGTGGCATACCTGCATGTATGTACCTCTTATGCACATCAAAAATAAAGAATTACAAAAAAACAAAACTTAATCAAAAACTTGAATTTGCGCTATATGTCTGTTCAGGCGTAAGTCGCCTCTTTCATATTATGTGCACCCACACTTATTATATATCATTTTATTCAGGGGACGCAGGGTTTTCATTTAACATCAAATATCTAGGTATGAAACATAATTTAAGATGAATAAAACATAAAAAAATGGGAGAAAAGAATTAAAAAAAAATTTTTTTAATTCTACGTGACATTTTAACTGTGAATGTCATAATACTGTTTTCTTTTACTGCAATAAAATATGCATATTTGTATTCAGCGATGTCTCAGTTGTAAAACAGTACCCCCTATGTACATGTTTTATGGTGTTTTGGGAAGTTACAGGGTCAAATATAGCGTGTTACATTTTTCAGTTTTTTCACACTGAAATTCGCCAGATTGGTTAAGTTTCATGTGAGACCGCATGGTAGCCCAGGAATGAGAATTACCCCCATGATGGCATACCATTTGCAAAAGTAGACAACCCATGGTATTCAGAATTGGGTAAATCCAGTCTTTTGTAGTAGCCATAAACGTTAGCCAAAGTTAGTTTTCACACAAAAGCTGCACTTTCACTGATGTTTAACAACACTCATATTTGTGTTCATTGAAGTCTCAGAAGTACAGCAGTACTCCACATGTACAGGTTATATGGTGTTATGGAAAGTTACAGGGTTAAATATAAGGCTTTTAAATTCAATGGACATTCTGCCTGGATTGTCGGTAAGGTTCCTTGAATTATAATTAATAAAATGAATTAATTATTTAAATATAGTAGATAAATATATATGTTGAGTGTGTGTGTGTATATATATGTGTGTGTGTGTGTATATATATATATATATATATATACACACACATATTATATATTTTATTCTTTTTATATATATATATATATATACACACACACACATATATATATATATATATATATATATATATATATATATATATATATATATATATATTTATATATGTTTTTGGAATATAATATATCAAGAAAGCAGCTTATGATATAGAAAAAAATATAATATGTACTACATATATAATTTAATTTCTAAGTGTATTTTTGAGTATTATGTACATGTGGCAAAAAAAATACAGTAAGAAATCAAATTTTACATATATTATATATGTACCCAGTATATTTAATCAGGGGTTTTAATGAACTATACATGGCACCATTATACTACGGCAACATATTGCCACTATAGTAATATTTGGTTTACTTAATTTTTATTTTTTTTAGGCACTAGTAGGCCTGCACGGGCATCAGGGCAGGAGATTACCAGCGGTCTCATAGAATGCTTAGCGGCCATGTGATTGCGACGTCCATCGCGATCACATGGCCCTGTATTACTGAAATGGAAGCAGAGGGACTGCCTGTCTTGAGACCATGATCGCCGGTCTAGGGAAGTGTGCAGGGACAGGGGAGTTAACGATCCTTAGGGCGTACTCTTACACCCTAACGGCGTTTAGGCACATTAAATGCGGGGCGGCATAGTACGCCCTAACGGCGGTAACTGTTTAATATCTAAACCGCTGGCAACAAAAGTGAGTACACCCCTAAGTGAAAATGTCCAAATTGGGCCCATTTAGACATTTTCCCTCTCCGGTGTCATGTGTAACAAGGTTTCAGGTGTGAATTGGGAGCAGGTGGGTTAAATTTGGTGTCATTCCTCTCACACTCTCTCATTCTGATCGCTGGAAGTTCAACATGGCACCTCATGGCAAAGAACTCTCTGAGGATCTGAAAAAAATTAAATTGTTGCTCTACATAAAGATGGCCTATGCTATAAGAAGACTGCCAAGACCCTGAAACTGAGCTGCAGCACGGTGGACAAGACCATACAACGGCTTTTACAGGACAGGTTCCACTCAGAACAGGCCTCGCCATGGTCGACCAAAGAAGTTGAGTGCACGTGCTCAGCGTCATATCCAGAGGTTGTCTTTAGGAAATAGATAAATGAGTGCTGCCAGCATTGCTGCAGAGGTTGGGGGGGGGGTCAGCCTGTCAGTGCTCAGACCATACACCGCACACTGCATCAAACTGCGGGCTTTCTTGTGCATCATCTTTAGAAGAAGCTTTTTTCTGGGACAACAACCATGCAGGCCAAACAGTTTGCTGAAGACCAAGATAAACTTATTTGGTTCAGACGGTGTCAAGCGTGTGTGGCAGCAACCAGCTGAGAAGTACAAAGACAAATTTGTCTTTCCTACAGTGAAGCATGGTGGTAGGAGTGTCATGGTCTCGGCCTGCATGAGTGCTGCTGGCACTGGGGAACTACAGTTCATTGAGAGAACCATGAATCCCGTGTATACTTGCTTGGGGACAAAGTCTAATTTGAGTAAGTCACCATCTTCCTTGCCGGAGACCCCCTGGGCAGAAGTTTTACTTTGAAAACCTAGGTGAGTAAGTGTTTAGTACTTCTGTTGTTTTATCCCTTTTGTTTTTTTCTGTTTGTGTAAATAATTTATCATCTATATTTTTTTATGCACTGTTACTACTTTTTGCTCATAATAAATATCCCTTTATTAAAGTAACACTATAGTCACCTAAATTACTTTAGCTAAATAAAGCAGTTTTAGTGAATAGATCATTCCCCTGCAATTTCACTGCTCAATTCACTGTCATTCAAGAGTTAAATCACTTTGTTTCTGTTTATGCAGCCAAAGCCACACATCCCATGGCTATGATTGACAGAACCTGCATGAAAAAAAAACTGGTTTCAATTTCAAACAGATGTAATTTACCTTAAATAATTGTATCTCAATCTCTAAATTGAACTTGAATCACATACAGGAGGCTCTTGCAGGGTCTAGCAAGCTATTAACATAGCAGGGGATAAGAAAATCTTAATTAAACAGAACTTGCAATAAAGAAAGCCTAAATAGGGCTCTTTACAGGAAGTGTTTATGGAAGGCTGTGCAAGTCACATGCAGGGAGGTGTGACTAGGGTTCATAAACAAAGGGATTTAACTCCTAAATGGTAGAGGATTGAGCAGTGAGGCCGCAGGGGCATGTTCTATACACCAAAACTGCTTCATTAAAGGACCACTCTAAGCACCCAGACCACTTCAGCTTTATGAAGTGGTCTGGGTGCCAGGTCCAGCTAGGGTTAACCCATTTTTTCATAAACATAGCAGTTTCAGAGAAACTGTTATGTTTATGAATGGGTTAAGCCTTCCCCTATTTCCTCTAGTGGCTGTCTCATTGACAGCCACTAGAGGCGCTTGCGTGCACGCCAGCGTCCATAGGAAAGCATTATGAATGCTTTCCTATGTGACCGGCTGAATGCGCGCGCAGCTTTTGCCGTGCGTGCGCATTCAGCCGACGGGGAGGAGAAGAGGAGGATCGGAGGAGGAGAGCTCTCCGCCCAGCGCTGGAAAAAGGTAAGTTTTAACCCTTTTCCCCCTTCCAGAGCCGGGCGGGAGGGGGACCCTGAGGGTGGGGGCACCCTAAGGGCACTATAGTGCCAGGAAAACGAGTATGTTTTCCTGGCACTATAGTGGTCCTTTAAGCTAAAGTTGTTCAGGTGAGTATAGTGTCCCTTTAAGTTCTGCCATTTTCTGGTAAAGAATCACGTTACCTGAAGAGACTAATTAGTATTTTTAAAATTCCTTAAATATTGTGCTAAGTTGTATTTGGTGGGTTTTTATTATTAATTTACCTGGGGGACCAAGGCACCCCATTTATGAATTGTCTTTGTGGTGGCAGCATTAAAATAGTAATAGTTATATTAGTATGTTTAAGTGTGGGTGGTGTTAAGGGGGATTTTGTCATTATTTCCAGTCTAGTGCAGACAAATAGTGAACTTTAACCCTTTCACCACCACAGCTACATCACGCACACTCTTGAAGAAGGGTGCGTTCGTGAAAAATCCATCCTGAAAAAAACATCTCTTGACCCGTCCTCCCCCTCTAACTATCGTCCCATATCCCTGCTCCCTTTTTCCTCAAAGCTTCTGGAAAGACTTGTCTTTGGCCGTGTGTCACACTTCCTCAATTCCAACTCTCTCCTTGACCCTCTTTAATCTGGCTTCCGCCCTCTCCATTCTCCTGACACTGCTCTTATCAAAGTTACTAATGACCTAATCGCAGCTAAATCCAAAGGCCACTACTCCATACTAATTCTTCTTGACCTCTCTGCTGCCTTTGACACCTTTTGATCATGCTCTCCTTCTTCAAACTCTCTTCAATCCCTCGGTCTCTGTGACTTTGTCCTCTCGTGGTTTTTCTCTTATCTCTCCCAACACTCATTCAGTATCTCCTTTTCTACTTATACTTCCTCCCCTCGTCCTGTCTTGGTTGGAGTCCCCCAAGGCTCTGTCCTTGGTCCCCTTCTATTTTCTCTTTATACTGCCTCTCTTGGCAAACGTATTACCTCTTTTGGATTCCACTACCACCTGTACGCTGATGTCACCGAGATACATCTCTCTTCCCCACACCTCTTTCCTGCCATCCTGCAACGTGTCTCTTCTTGCCTACCTTCCATCTCTGACTGGATGTTTCTGAAACTCAATCTCTCTAAAAACGAGCTCCTTGTCTTTCCTCCTCCCTTCAAGTTAGTGGTATCCACATCCAGTCCATCCTTGCAAGCACGCTGTCTTGGCATCATAGTTGACTCTGGCCTCACCTTTGAGCCTCACATCCAGTATGTTGCCAAATCCTGTAGATTCCATCTTAAAAACATAGCCCGCATCCACCCCTTTCTTAAGCAAGATGCTACCAAGGAGCTTGTCCATGCTCTAGTAATTTCCCGCATGAATTATTGTAACCGTCTCCTGATTGGTCTTCCCAAAAAACCCTCTACAGTCTGTAATGAATGCTGCCGCCAGACTGATTTTCCTCTCTATTCGGTCCTCTCACACCTCACCCCTCTGTCAGTCCTTACATTGGCTTCATGTATGCTAAAGGAGTCAGTTCAAAGTGCTAACCCATACCTATGAAGCACCGAACAATTCTAGCCCCTCTTATATCGCCTCACAAATCCATAGGTATGACCCTTCTCGGTCTCTTCGCTCTGCCCGTGACCTTCTCCGGTCTGCTACTCGCACCCGTACGACAAACTCGCGCTTGCAGGACTTCTTGCGGGCGGCTCCCTTCCTATGGAAAAACCTGCCTACCGCCATCACTCTCCCCTAGTCTTCAATCGTTTTAGAAGTGCCTTAAAACGCATCTCTTTAAGAAAGTTTATGGCCTCCCAGACTACCCTCTACCTCACATACCTGTCTCTTGCTCTCTCCTAAAGAGCATCACCCTACTCCCTCCTCCAGCTCTGCTTCTCTTGTTTAAGCTTGTTTGAGCAGGGCCCTCTTCAACCTATCGTTCCTATAAGTTTTCTTGTAATTGTCCTATTTATAGTTAAATCCCCCCTCTCATAATATTGTAAGATGGGGCATTTGGCGCTATATAAATGGCGAGAATAATAATAATGTACTGTGACATACTGAAGCAGAGCATGATCCCTTCCTTCGGAGACTGGGCCGCTGGGCAGTATTCCAACATGATAATGACCCCAAACACACCTCCAAGACGACCACTGCCTTGCTAAAGAAGCTGAAGGTAAAGGTGATGGACTGGCCAAGCATGTTTTCAGACCTAAAACTAATTGAGCATCTGTGGGACATTCTCAAACGGAAGGTGGGGTAGTGCAAGGTCTCTCGCATCCACCAGCTCCGTTATGTAATCATGGAGTAGTGGAAGAGGACTCCAGTGGCAACCTGTGAAGCTCTGGTGAACTCCATGCCCATGAGGGTTAAGGCAGTGCTTTATAATAATGGTGGCCACACATATTATCGACACTTTGGGCCAAATTTGGCCATTTCCACTTAGGGGTGTACTTACTTTTGTTGCCAGCGGTTTAGACATTAATGGTTGTGTATTGAGTTATTTTGAGGGGACAGCAACTTTACACTGTTATACAGGCTGTACACTTACTACTTTACATTGTAGCACAGTGTCATTTCTTCAGTGTTGTCACATGAAAAGAGATAATAAAATATTTACAAAAATTTGAGGGGTGTACTCACTTTTAGGAGATACTGTATATACACTGAACAAAATTATAAACGCAACACTTTAGTTTTTGCCCCCATTTTTCATGAGTTGAACTCAAAGATCTATGTACACAAAAGGCCTATTTCTCTCAAATATTCACACATCTATCTAAATCTGTGTTGGTGAGCATGTATCCTTTGCAAAGATAATCCATCCACCTCACATGTGTGGCATATCAAGATGCTGGTTAGACAGCATGATTATTGCACAGGTGTGCCTTAATCAAATCTACTATCTACTACCATAAAAACATTTTTTTAAAAAGGATTCTGCTCTGTGAAGCTGGACATGGACAGGAGTTACCAGTAAGATAACAATCTCTCATATAATTTTATTTGTACAGATTAAACTTATTGTGAAATTTAATGGTGATATAAAAATAGGTATTTACAATATATAGTGTCTGCTTGTAGGCGGTAGGTGTGATTTAAGCATTGGGGCGATATAAAGAATCCATGCAGGAAGTTATATTCGAACTTTCTTTGCAGGTGTAGTTTTTGGTCTCTCAGGATTGGGAACACGAGCTGTTGGTGCAGAAATCTGATATATCTTCTTACCTATGGTTTCTACCTAGAACGACAAGAATAATTTTCCTTAGAACAGGAGCTCTCCAAGTCTATTCAGAATATAAATGTAATATATACCCAACACGATACAAAACCATTTTGAACAAAAATAACTTTATAAAAAATGATAACGAGAAGTGAAAATGAACAAGCCAAGGCTCTTATGAAAAAGCTAAATCTATGGTATTTTGTATGTAATACAGACACTGCAATATTTCAGAAATCATTGGTGCTATCGGATGTGCCCATTATTTCACTAGGCAGATTGTGTTTTAGAATCATTTACTGCACAGATGGTGACATCATCCATTCAACTAATCTCCATAATCAACAGGTAATTATGAACATAACAGCTCCATTAACTCAAATTAGTTTCATTTGACTGAAAGTAGTTTGAAAAGCTCCAAAGGAACTCTAACTCACACTAATCTCAGACAACACTGAAACATGTATATCTTAATTATGCTATTGCAATAAATCCATCCATTTAAACACTACGCTGCCCTTACACACTACACTAACAATTAACCCCTTACATTACCTTACACTGACACTAAGCTTTAGCTTTAAGGAACATTATAGCATTAGGAACACAAATTATATTACATGACATGAGGTTTCATAATTTGCATAATCTTCCTTAACTACTCTGTAGCAGCAAAGACATATAGAAAAAAAGGAACCAATCAGAGACAGGCAGAGAGTATAAGATACACCTCCCACTGAGTCACTTCCTCTTTCTTTGCTGCACCATCACAAGTCAGGTCAGAATATTGTGTGTCTACACTTTGTTGGTTTGTTTTGTTATATTTACTTATATTGATTGATTTCTTTATTTTTCATACTGGATATGTATTTATGTTAGATTTTCTACATGATAGTGGGGACGCTGTTTTTTGTTTAGTACGGTGTAGACTTTGGGGATTGTCCGTGTAAGCTACATTATCCCTATTAAACCCTACCAACCTCTTCTGACCAGCTCTCTTTTCTGATACCCCACTACCCTGTTCTCCTTGTGGCTACGCTCACCACTTCACAGGCACTCTCCCACTACCACACGCTATTGTCAGGGAGGGCGTGTGGTGCTGTTGAGATTTCCCGCTTGTCAGGCTGCATTCGCTTGCTTTCGTGTGCTCGCCTCAGTCTACTCACTTAGTTTCAATCTACCGAACGCGTATATCTATACGCGGTCAGCGGTTTGTATTTTTTGTCAGGTGTTCATGGTTCGCATGGGTTCGTGCATTCGCATATGCCTGTTTTAGTCCTTCAATCTACCGAACCCGTATTCCTTCCTGGTTCAGCCTTTTGGGACGTTCTACTCCCGAACAGACAACCCTCAGCATACTGTAGTTTTCCCTTTGGGTTGTTCGTTTCGCGAACGTACTCATTCGAGTTTTTCTGTGTTCGTTTTATCTCAGTTCATTTTTTCCCTACATTACTGTTCTGTCCATAGGCGGAAGTGTGGAAGTGCTTTTAGTGTGTGGGGGAGTGCTGTATGTGTGTGAGGGTGCTGTTAGTGCGTATGTGTAAGGGTGTTGTATGTGTAAGGATGCTGCGTGTGTGTGTGCTGTTTGTGTATATTTTGTTTGTGGGGGTGGGCGATACCGTTTAGGAAATAGCCCACCTCCCATCTTACCTTTTGTAGGGAGGGGGGACCATGCTGCTGCCATCCCTGGTGGTCCACTGGTGAGTGAAGTCTAGCCTGCGTTGCTAGAGTTCTCTTTCGCGAGGTCTGAGCATTGCCACGCCAATGCTCCGACCTCGCGAGAAGAACCTGGCGGAGCTGCTGGCTAGAGCTCCGCGGGTCCTCTCCTGCCTCCCTTTCTGCCTGTGGGCCGGTGAGGGAGATCTTTCTTTGATCTCCCTCACCGGCCCATGGAGGCACATAGCGCGGGCCGCGGGGATTAGGGTGTGCCCAGGCACACCCAGCACACCCCGTGCGTACGCCTATGGTTGTCTCTGTTCGCTGTATTTCAGATTTCCTGTGAACGCATTTCGCTGCCTTTTTCGCGGCCATTTTGGATCTCATCTTGCGAGAGCCGCGGCAGTCATTTTAACCCTTGTTGGTTGTTAGGAGTTAATCAGGATAGTTGTTTTTTTTTGCTTTGCTCGGAATTCAGGTGTGGAATCGGTGCAGAAATTGGTTTCTGTTCACCTTGCCTGTAACAGGGACCTGTTAAGGTTCGTACTAACCTGATAAGGGTATGAACCGATCAGGTTCATACCCATTAACCCGCCTCTAGGTGAGACCCCATATACTGAGCTGCCGAGTGGAGCTGTGCTTGCAGCCTTCTTTTATATGGGTGAGCCACAGCTTTGATTCTACAAACATTACTGTGGATCGCATACTTGACCACCATACTTGATCGCATATATACCCACTTAGCAGTCCCTGCTACCAATTTGCCTATTTACTCACTAATCATTTGGGTGAACCCCAAGTATACCGAGTGTTAATGACAGAAGACTCACAGATGCCCTCAGACCTCCAGGCATTAAACTCCTTAGCCAAGGCGTTACCAGCCACTCAAGACACCTCCAAAGCGTCCATTAAACACTCCCAACAGTGAGACATCTCGGATAAGTCCGACTCCTCTTCTAATGGGCAATGCTGCCCTGCTAAATGCCATTGGAAAGTCGAAGGGTCAAAGTCAAAACCCACTAAGGGTAAGGCTCCCCTAAAGAAGGGAAAATGTACAAGGCCTGTGAACCCTCCAACTTATGACGCTTCCTTGGACGAGGAGCAGGATGTCCCACCATCACTATCAGTTCTCGATGGGTGGCAAGCAGAAGATTCCCATTCTGATGATGGGAGTCGGGGTTCCAACTCCTTTGTGAAGGAGACCTTTCTGGGTGAGCATCAGCATGTGGGTGATGTGGGTGATGGCGAGCTCTTTCTTGACACCACAGGCCAACACATGTATGACCCGAGAAACATTAGTCACCCACGCACGGGAGATTGGACACCACTGCCTCATCTCCTTACTGCACTTCTGACTACGTAAGGCACTGGACAAGGAGGTCCGCAAGCAGCTGAGATCAGAGTGCCCCAGACCTTCACTCCCAGATAAGGTCACATATACACTAGAATTTGACCAGATGAGGGACGAGGGTGTAGAGACCCAAGGAAAGGGGTTGAGAAAGGGACCCAGGGTAAGCTCCTCAATGCTATCAGGCCGCTTGCCTGGGTTATGACCCTAGCGGATGAGGCATACACTCAGGCCGACTCCTTTACAGCAGGCAATGTGCGCAACTGGGTGCACGATATTCGTGAATGGGCCCAGAGATGTTTTTGCTTTCTGGGTAACACAAATGTGGCCCTCTCTTCGAAGAGACGCTGGGCAGCCTTATCCTGAATTGCTGGCAAATTGGTAGACCTCGGGGCCAAGGAATTGGGCCCACAGACACAAGGAAAATTATTCAGTGGACCAATCATGAAAGAACAAATACATCAATGTGTTTACATCCCTTAATAAAGTGCAAATCTCAATGCGCAGGGTATTCTGTGGCAACACCACACGAGGGGTTTTTGGACGTGCTGGTTGGCAGAGGGGCCATGCCGCCAGACGTTTCTGGCCTTCAGGCTCCAGATACACACGTCCTCCACCCTTCTATCCGGAAGTGGGTGGTTAACAGCCTTTCCAGTACTCGAGGAGCTCCAATAGAGGCTGTGGACGAGCCAGCGTAAGTTTTTAAACAGGTAAGACTCAGTTTTATTCCTGTTTCACCTATTGTAATGACCACGGCATCCCCTGCCTTTCTTATTTTTTCCTGAAGTGGGTAGAACTGTCTTTGAACTCCTGGATTTTGCAGACCGTTCGTGGTTATTGCATCAAATTCGAGACTACTCCTGTACAACTTCACCCTCCACGTCCGCTGCCTTTTTCAGCAGCAGACACCAGGTAAGTGGAACGGGAACTACAACCCCTCCGAACAAAAGGAGCCATAGAACCTGCACAGACCCCAGGGGGATTCTTCAGCACTATTTTCCTCATAAGGAAGAAAACCGGAGACTTCCGCCCGGTAATCAACTTAAAGGACCTCAACACACATGTCTCATACCACCATTTCAAGATGGAAGGTATCCATCTATTACGGGATCTCCTGCAAGGAGGAGACTGGTTTACCCGACTGGACTTAAGACGCCTATCTGTACCAGTAGACAACAGCAGTCGTCCCTCCTCACGATTCCTCTGGATGGGGACACCATAGCAATTCACTTGCCTCCTCTTCGGGCTCAGCTTGGTACCATGGTGCTTTCTGAAGGTTCTGAAACCAGTGATGGCTCACTTACGGGGACAAGTCATACGGTGCCTGATTTACCTGGAAGACATTTTACTCTTCGACCAGAACCAACTACTTTCAACTACAGATTACACAGTGACCGTGTTGGAATCCCTCGGCTTCCTGGTCAATTGAGTAAAGTCAACACTGACTCCAAATCAATGTGTGCAATTCCTGGGGTTCGACATCGACTCCCTGTCATGTACACTCCGACCTCCAATTACCAAAGTCGCGACAATATGCAAGGAGATATGGAAGATACTACGTTGGGATTCAATCCCACTGACTGCTGTCACGAATCGTAGGACTACTATCCTCCTACATCCAGGCGATCTTCCCAGGCCCCCTGCACTATGGAGCCATGCAACGGCTAAAAGCTTGTTTCCTTTGGAAAAACCCCACTTACGAACAACCGGTCCCCATGACGGAAGAAGTCCAACAGGAATTTCGATGGTGGCGCGATTGGATGGAGGCATGGAATGGCAGGCCCATCTTCGGCAAATGGCCGGATTTCATTCTGCAATCGGATGCAAGTCGATGGGGTAAGGGTGCCACCGATGGACAGACAGCCACGGGCGGAGTTTGGACCACAGAAGAACTTGCCCTACACATCAATTGCCTTGCTATCCAAAGTCTAGCGAAAGGGAGATCCGATTGCTGTATCCCACTGCGCATGGACAATTTATCCGCAGCTCGTTCCATCAACCACTTAGGTGGCATCTCGTTCTCAGACACTGACGGATCTCACAAAGGAAATCTTCGACTATTGCCTACCACGCAATATCACATTGATGGCGGAACATCTTCCACGAGAAACCAATCTGACAGCAGACTAGTTCTCTCTACACTGGAGGGACAGCAGCGATTGGCATCTAGATCCACACATATTTGCAACACTGAACAACCTAAGAGGTCCGCTCATGATCGACCTTTTCGCATCCCGCACAAACCGCCAACTACCAATTTTCTACAGTTGGTCGCCAGACCCAGAGGGTGCAGCGGTGGATGCATTCCTGCAGTCATGGCCGACCAAATGAGCTTATACATTTCCACCATTGGCGATGATCGCGAAAGTGGTTCACCACATCAGACTGCAGGAAGTGGCAATTCTCCTGGTGATGCCCCGATGGCAGAGTCAACCGTGGTTCCCAGATCTCCTTGCACTGTCATACAAGGATCCACTGCTATTACCAGACGATCAGATGATGTTCACAGATCCCATGGGAGTCCTCATCCCATGCTACAAGAAGGACATCTCTCTGTAGTAGCCTGGATTCTTTCAAGGGTGCTTGGTGCACCGATGACTTATCGTCAACAGCTGGGACTCCATGGGCTCCTGGAATGAGGAAGTGTTACCTCTCAGCTTGGAATTCATGGGTCAATTGGTGTATGGAATGGAAGCTCGATCCTTTTACCGCCTCTGTATCCTCCATATTGGACTTTCTTGCATTCCTGTTCTCGGAAGGTAAGTCCTACCAGTCCATCAATGTTGTGCGCTCTGCGATTTCAGCGGCTCACACCCCATTACAAGGGAAACCGATAGGTCAGAATCCCTTGGTTTGTAGAATACTTTGCGGCATTCAGTTACGTAGAGCCCCTGCACCGAAATATTCCTTCCTTTGGGATGTGGCCCAAGTTCTTCATTTCATCAAGGCGTGGCCTTCTAACGACAAGTTGTCTTTAAGACAACTGACAGCGAAGTTTACCCTTCTTTTGTACGGGCATAAGGGCAATCGATGTGGATGCCTTCTCGTTTTCTCCTGATGGTGACACCTTTCGGTTGTCTTGACGCACCAAGTCGGACTCAACATCATGTTTTTTTTTTTAAATCCAATTTTTCCGAAACCCCAACTTTACGTGGTCCAGACACTACACGCCTATGTAACAGCTGCGGCCACGCTACAATCGACCTCATCCCGACAATTATTAGTGTCCTACGTTAAGCCACATGATCCAGTTTCAGTTACCACCTTGTCCCGCTTGGTACGATGGCTTTTATCTCTCGCCGGAATTGACCCATCCTACAGCGCGCATTCGGTTCGACTGGCCATGAGAGTCCACCTTTCAGATGTTTTTACTTTCGCCCGTCCTCCAATGCCATTTTTATCTATTGCCTTAGTGTTAAAACTGCAAAATATAAAGCCTCCTGTCATGTAATAAAATGTAAGATTATGCTAGCTTTAGTATTCTCATAATGTTTATTTAAAATAATGACAGGAAGTGAGTATTTCCCCCCCCCTTTGATTTTCCCTCCCATTCAGGTGGGTTCGCATACTCGGGTAAGTTATGGATGTTATTACTATGGTACTGGTCGTTCTCTTATGACCACTTAGTTGATTCTATTCACTCTAGATGGAAAGTTGGGGTTGTTTTTCATATAGAGTTGATATATGTATAGATATTCTATATTAGGTTACTAATATTATTGTACATATGTTAATTTATATAGCTCACGATAGATTGTGATAGAACTCTGTTATTGTGCATCTTTCATGTGACTCATTGTTCAGGTTTACATTTCATATCCCTAAAATGCTCTCGGCTCTTTCAGCCTAAAAGACGCAAAGAGATCTTGCCAGACGCAAAGAGATCTTGCCAGTTTTGAATTGAATACAGCCGTTCTTCATCGTTCTTGGAATTGGAACTGTTTTCTTTATTCCGTATGGTTCTTCATTTAGTGTGACTTGTGATGTCGCTGTTATCAAAAGGAAGTGACTCAGTGGTAGGTGTATCTTATACTCTCTGCCTGTCTCTGATTGGTTCATTTTTTTCTATATGTCTTTGCTGCTATGGAGTAGTAAAGGAAGATAATGCAAAATACTCTCCTCCTGTCATTATTTTAAATTAAGATTATTAGTACACTAAAGCTAGTATAATCTTCAATTTGTAACCCTAACAATATAGTGTCACAGTCCCTGTTTAGATGACAGGACCCCTGCTACCAGGGTTAAAAAAGGGATTTTAGTTACCTTTTATCCTTTGCAACACTGGTCTTCAACATGAAGCTCCATCTCTTTGGCTGAGATCATCGCAGTGAATGATCTCAGCCAATCCAATGCAAGGCTAGTTTACATGCTCAGCAGAATGCTGCACAGCGCCTATCAGATGTGTTAGTTTACTATTTCTATGAAGCTCCTCTAATGGCTGTCAGCCACTAGAGGCAAGTTAACCCCTTAATGAAAACATTTTCAGCTGCAGGATAAACAGGGGGACATGGCACCCAGATCATTTCATGACTTGAAGTGGTCTGGGCACCTATACAGTCCATTTGAAATGATGTAATATAAAATAATAGCAAAGTGTGTAATAGGGAAAACTAAACTCAGAATTCTGGAGGAATTTAATTTGTATATGATGTTTCCAGAACCCCTAACTGGTATTATCTTCACATACTACAAAGTCACTGTTGTCCATTATATACACACACAGACCGTAAATACATTCACTGGCATGTATACAGACAAAGTCACACACAGAGACATAGGTGATTTTACACTTATTATAAGCTGACTGTGAAATGTGGAAAGGGAAAGATCTATACAAGCAGACATTTTTCATGCAAGTAATTAGCCATACCTGGAAACCAATTTGTAGTAGTTTCTTATGTAAACCATCTAAAACTCTTCTCCCATCAAAAATAAAGGCAGGTTTTAACATTTTCCCGTAAATTCTCTGGTAGTCTAGATCCTAGTAAAAAGAAGTGCATTCAATTTAATTTTTAATGTAGAAACATCACATACTAGGAATCATGATTGATAATATCACCTCCCTTTGGTGTAATTGAATCCCCATATTTGTTTGCTTAGACAGGCAATTTTAAGTAGCCTTGTAAGATTTAAAACCATTTTTTTTTCTGTGTGTGCGCTCTTCCTTTAATCTATTATTTGTGGATATGTTCTTAACAGCAGCACCAGTACTGAGAAATGCCTTTTAACAGTGTGCACCCCAATTCCCCTTTTTTCTTGGTATATTCGGAATCCGATTAGATACCTATTGGGCTGAGCACTACACCCATTCATTTTGGAGGTGACCACAGGAAAGCATCATTTTGGGGAGAGTCTCTGGAAGCAGTTTATGCAGTCAGTAATGCAGTTAGCATGTTAATCTACCATATTACATATTAGTGTAGGACCCACCGATATTGAGGTACTGTAAAGTAGTGGTGGGCTTAACTCAATATGGCCATGTGATGTAACTGAATCCCCATGTTTGTTAGCTAAGTGTGTGACTTTAAGTAGCCGCCTTGTAAGATTTCAAAAAGGTATTTTACTTTTTTGTGTGTGTGCTGCTCCTTAATATGTATTTTGAGAATTTCGTACCTTGAAAACATCCCATTCAGTGCAAATCACCAATGCATGTGTATTTTCACAAGCTTCATATGGCTCCGAAGCGATGGTTACCAACTCAGACACTACATCATCAAACAGAGAGTGACAGACATTGAGGGTAATGGTAAAAAAAAAAAATCAACAAAAATGTCAGCTGTATGATATTTAATACATGTTGAAGTAAGCACTTCTTTAACTTAATTCATGACCAGGGGTAGTTGACATGTGACATAAGATTTACAGATGTAAGAGGACAAGGCTACATGGTGAATTTACACCAAAGCATGAGGAAAAAGACAAGCCCGGGCCCTGACTTTTAAAAATCTTGACTATTTGGTAACACTCACAGTGGGCAAATAGTTTTAAAAAAAACCTTGACCATGCGAGGTTTAACCGATGCAGCAGTTGCCAGTGCTTGCTAGACAGTTGCCACATTTAAAAGTTAAACCGTTATTTTAACCCCTTTTCATAAAATTTCATGAATTTTGTTTTCATCTACAAGGCACTATTGTACATTGGTAATTAAGCTCCTCTATAAAAACCTATTAAATAAGTTATAAACTTACCCGGAATCCAACAACAAGCAAATCTGCACATACAGACTTGTGCCACTATTACCACTTCTAAAAGCAGAAGTCGTTATGGTGGTTTGAGTAGCCCTTTAAAAAAGAAAAAAAAGCCTATGTGGTTCACTATGACCCTCATATAACTGTAGGGAGGTCACAAGAAGATTACATGAGGATATATAATAAAAAGAACATAGGAGAGAAAAAGGGATGCAAATATATAGGAAAGCACAAGACAGAAGAGGAGAGAGTAAAAAGTTATGAAAATGCATCTCCTAAAGTGGATGGAATGAGACTAAGCAGCGAAGCAAAGAGGTAATAAGGCCTATGAAATCGAAAATTAAAAATACACTTCTTACTACTTTGTGTCTCTCCTAACCCATTTCCCTTTGTTTGTCTTTCCTAAATTCTATTACCTCCTTTGAAGGACCTCAAAATGTAAAGAAATATGATTGTGAGGGACAGAGGTGGGGATGCATTGCCACACAGTACGTAATTGTCCATGGTTAATTGTACTTTTTGACAATCACACTGTGACATAGAATTCATTTTTTTACACTATATATATAATGGAGGTAATGTCACTTTCAGCCATAATCATCCTTTACATATCTCTGTAAGAAGATGATAGCTCTAGAATCAGTTAACATGGTGATTATACCTCTCTCTGGATTGTCCCCCGTTACAGATGGATGAGAAAGATCCCGTATAATTTGGGCTTTTGTTACTTTTGGATCATAGATCGATAGATGAGCCCCTTCATCCATGAGATATTTGCACACATGAATACTGGACGATTCCCTTTAAAAACAACACCGGGTCAGTTGGCATACACACTCCGAATTAGGTTTATTAAAATCATGATTTTTTTTTTTGCATCAAATATTACAAAGAATATGTAGAACTGGTTCATGTTCAGAAAACCACAGTAGCTTATGTTTTTTTGTTTGGTTCTGTTTTTTAAAACACCTTTAAATAAGACATCTAGGGCGGCATTCTTTACAGTCACTGATGTCATTTTGCACTCAAGTTTTACAGTACTTTCTTAATTTACATGGAGTGCATGACGTGCTGAATGTTCCATCCCTCTTTAAAGTGACATTATGAGCACCCAGACCACTTCATCTCATTGAAGCGGCTTGGGTGCAGTGTCTCTGTCCTCTGAGCCCTGCAATATGAAACATTGCAGTTTTAGAGAACATGGTATGTTTACATTGCAGGGCTAAGACTGCCTCTAGTGACTATCTCCCAGACAGCCAGTAGAGGTGCTTCCTGTTGTTTCATGGAGTTTGACTCCATGAAACAACTCTGGTTAAATTTGAAAATTATAACAGGGTTGAATATTTCACACATTAATTAGTCTGTTTCTTTACCCTTGCATGATATAACAATGTATTATTAGTACAATGAAATCAAGAAAATTAAGAAATAAAATATAAATTAATATAGTGGTCATTGATTATGAACCTTCTATTGAAAATGTCTTGTGATCAAAAAATGTGACAATTACCTTGTGTCTCCTGTATCTTTCTTGAAAGCAAATCCAAGCAGAGCTATCTTCTTGTCAGCTACATTATTAAAAAGGCAGCTTACAATGCGGGACGCAAACCTGCGACGCTGGTATTCATTGATTTCCAGGACCTATAAAATGTAATTAGTCAGTTTATTACAAGTCGCATAACCTTATATAATCAGCCACTGGCTGTGAGGATTTGACTGTTGTAATTCCAAGATAATCACCTCCGTACAGCTGCTAGATCTGCAAGTGGTTTCTACAGCTAAACTGTTTTAGGACCTATTGTCTTTAGTGTACAGTTGCTTACTTAATAGTCACCACTAGGTGTCACTCTATAGTATTTACTTTATAGAGTTTTGCACATTATAGTAAATCTCTTTAACACTATAATATTAGGAATACAAACCTGTGTTCCTAATAGTATAGCATCCCTGTTCCTAGTTATATACAGCCCCCTCTCTGTGTGCAATAAAAATAAAATAACATAAAGGTTTTACTTACCTTTTTTCAGCACTGAGTAAGTATTCCCTCTGCAATACTTACCTCTCCAACTCCCGCAACATAACAGCAATGTTTTATCTTCGAGGGGTGAACATACAGGACCAACGCACTCAGACCACTTGAGACAAACTGATATGGGTGACTTTAGAGGGCGTTTAAAGGGACATTTTAAGCACCATGTCAACTTTATCGGAATTAAGTTGTTATAGTGTGAGGAGGTCCCAGAAGACCTGCCTTCAGAGGTTAAACTGTTAACAAATAGTTAAACCCCAATTTCTTCAGTCTCACACCTATCAGCTCTGCCCCTCTTCTTCTGTTTGAGTCAGAGGCCTTAAACATGACCTCAAAAAGGCATTAATGATATTCTGAGAGTTGCCTATCATCAATTAAGTGAAATAGGTATCTTTTGGGGGATGGCAAACTGTTTTATAAGAATAGAGCTGTCTGTGAGAAGTCCCGGCAGTTAGTGAGTTAGCAATACAGGTACAAGCAGGCGACAGGAGATGGACACTGGCACGGCAGAGTTGCTGAGAAGGGATCTGCCTATGAATTAGTTAAGAAATGTAGTGGGAGGTAGAGTTGTTGAGTTGTTAAATATATTGTTCCTACTTACTTTACAACATATTTTAATTGTTTAGAATATTGTTCCAAAATACAGTTTTTGTTGTATCTTTATAAAATGTGTTCAATAAAAATTATTTGAAAAGAGTTAATATATTGATTGAATAGGGTACAGAAAGCCAGTGTAACATACTCGTTTTCCTGGCACTATAGTGCCCTGAGGGTGCCCCCACCCTCAGGGTCCCCCTCCCGCCGGGCTCTATGGTGAGGAAGGGGTTAAACTTACCTCTTTCTCCAGCGCCGGGTGGTGAGCTCTCCTCCTCCTCGGCTGAATGCGCATGCGTGGCAAGAGCCGAACGCGCATTCAGCCAGTCTCATAGGAAAGCATTCACAATGCTTTCCTATGGACACTGGCGTCTTCTCACTGTGAGAATCACAATGAGAAGCACGCAAGCGCCTCTAGCGGCTGTCAATGAGACAGCCACTAGAGGCTGGATTAACCCTAATATAAACATAGCAGTTTCTCTGAAACTGCTATGTTTATAGAAAAAAAGGGTTAACCCTAGCTGGACCTGGCACCCAGACCACTTAATTAAGCTGAAGTGGTCTGGGTGCCTACAGTGGTCCTTTAAAGGTGGGGCCAGGATTAATGATAACACCAAGGCAGTGACCTTGTAAAAATGGGCCGATGTGCAAACCATCAAGTTGCAGGGAGCGCGGCAGCAGTAGATTACTATTATAATGAGGGAGTATTAGAAGCTCAGTTTTAGAAAGATTGAGTTTTACAAAGCAGGAGGACAAAAGAGAGGTGACTCATTCTCAGACATTGGGAGACAGCTCAGGGGAGGAGAGGTATATCTGGGTATTCACATCAAGTAGTGGTGGAATCAAAACAATCTAATAAATTTGCTAAGAGAGGCAAAATAAAGAAAGAAGAAGACTTGGAGGACTCCAGACAAGACAGGGCGAGGGAAGGAAGCCTTACCAGGAAAGGAGACACTGAAGGATTGTTGGGAAAGATTGGATGAAAAGCATGACAGGTGACAGGACATAGTCATGACTGAAGTCAAGTTAAAGTACAACGGTACGGGAGGCGGGGCTGGGGCAAAATAAAGAAAGAAGAGGACTTGGAGGACTCCAGACAAGACAGGGCGAGGGAAGGAAGCCTTACCAGGAAAGGAGACACTGAAGGATTGTTGGGAAAGATTGGATGAAAAGCATGACAGGTGACAGGACATAGTCATGACTGAAGTCAAGTTAAAGTACAACGGTATGGGAGGCGGGGCTGGGGTCGCCAAGGCACATGGAAGCAGATCATAATGGCTCTGAGCCCGAGCCCCAAAAACCGGCACTAAAAACGCTTATGCACAGCCTTGAGGCCAGATATTTATGCACATTAATACAGTGAATCACCCCAGCTCCGTTCTGATACCAAGCATGAGGCCATCAAAGCACCGGGAGCAACGACTTCGAGACACCCGGCCTACCTGCCTCCACAAGCCAAGACACCAGCGGCATATAAGCAAGATCCGCATACCTAGAAAGGAACACATGCCAGAGATACTTACCTTTGAGGAGGGCAGTGCTGGCTCGGGGCACGGCCCCGCTTCCCCCCCCCCGGCTGGCGGTGGTAACCCCGGCCACGTGGGGGATACACACACCGAGGCAGGAGCCTCTGACCTCGGCCCATGCCGATCCCCCAAACTGGCAAAGGCTGCCTAAGTGAGACATGCCAGAAGAGTGGAGCGGAGGGCGACCAGCCTGTGCACGAGGGGATGCCCAGCGCTCACCTTTGGCCCCGCGGTGGCCGGGCCTTGGGCGGACCGCCCGGACGGCCCATGAGCCGACAACATGGCAGCTCGACCTTCGGATGAGGTGGCCATCTGGAGGAACTTGTCCCCACCACTGCAAGCCCGACGGGGATGGGTACTGCGCGCCTCCAGCGGAACGGTGGCTGAGAGGCTGTACATCCCCTGTCCTATAGTAGCGGCCGGCGCTGGGTGAGACAGGCAGAGCGATCCATGTACCTACCGTGGTACCGAGGGTTCGGGGGAGGTGCAGGGGACACTGGGTGAGCGGACTCTTGGGGGGACGGGGGCGCTGGAGCACATGTAGTCCCTGAGTGCCCACCGGGCCACGGTGCTTATGGGGGGCGGCCTGAGCTGGGGGACCGGACTGGTGCCCTGGGGTACTGTGTGGCGCTGACTGCTCCCTGACCTGTTCGGGTGACCCGGACATTCCACACACTTCATGGGCCTACAAGGGTCATACCCAGCACTAATCTCATGCAGCCGGCCAGACCACACAACCTTCTGACTTGCATGCACTGTGTGGATGGAACACCTAGCTCCGGAATCTATAATAGGAACTTTTATATTGTGCTCCGTACTTAGACGCTCTCCAGACACCATCCTAAAAGTTACTATTAACCTACTCATATATTGTTGTTAATCCTACTACTGAACCTAATTTTTCAGCATTTCCTAACACTGCATGCCTGCACCATAATTTTCAAGGTACCATTACAAGACAAACAGCTCTGACTCCTCACGGCCTCATGACATCAACCTAATACAAGGGGTTAACTACGTACAAGCTGTTTAATATCTGTACGAGCCAAAGTTTTAGCATCTTTGCTACTCAGTGGCCCATTTATATCTATAGGCGTAATTTGATATAAGGCCTCATATCTTATAAAAAGGCCATATTAATTTAATCTGCGGTGCACTATAGCATTCACAGCTTAAGCCGTTCTACCTGCCTATCTTCACAGATAATTAATGATGATAATTTATGCCGAGCAGTCAACATAAATGTAAGGGCCCAATTAAGACCTGAGTTAAACCAACAAGCTAACGCACCAGCCATATGGCACCAATAGAGTTACACAGTCACCACGCTGGCCTTACGCCCCCTGTCATAGCTACAATACGTCACCATCCCGACATCATTGGTTAAATTAAAGGCAGTTGTGCTTAATGCTTCATGGCTATAACATGTTAACTAAGCACACACATGCACTGTTAAACTGTTACATGGTTATCATCTGCTATCATACTGTGCCTCTGCGTAGACGAACACGACTTTTTGCTATAACCTGCACAATGTTGACATATATCTTGCATTATGAAAATAAAAATATGCCTGCTGTAATAATACAAAATAAAATAAAAAGTACAAGGGTATGAAACACATAGACTGCTGGAATTTGTTGTACCGCTACTTTGCATGCTGCCGAATGTATTTCACGACTCATACATGGGAGAATAAAGAAGATTGGTATTTTACTTTACATCTTAGGTACTGTTATTTGCTTATTTTGTTTACTCATTTGAGAGGTTGGACCGCAACACCTCAAAAAGCGAGGGATTAGGGATTACTATAACTTTGATACAGTGTCATGAAGGCAAAAAGGTGTGAGGAGTTTGGAGAAGGAGAGTGTGATCCAACAGGTTTAGAAGAATTAGTATCAAGTAGTGTCCTTTGGATTTAAAAGGTATGTTACCCTAGGGCTCATTTGCTGCATATTGACAATCAACCCTACAGTTTGGTTAAATAGGTCTGTCCACGTGCAAAGCACTGAAAATATTTTCTTGTATGGACCAAATTAGCCAGAAATACTTCTGTGCAGCTATAATTAATATTAATGGTGCTAATTATGTGCTGTATGGCAACTTTTCTCTGTCTGTGTCTCAAAGCAGGACAGGAAAACGCAGTCGAACAGGCATCCCTATTCAGGTCTGCCATGCCAGATTTGGGCAGCTGGGAGGTTTGTGAATGTGACTCCACCAAATATGATTCTTCTATCTATGGCAGTGCTGAAGTTAGGATGTATTTCTCTGCATTTTCTCTGCTCTTTAGGCACAGCAAGGATTTCTGGGAGCAGTAGTACAGTTATCAGGTTTATGCTGTAGTATTACAAAAACAGAAGGCACAACATTTTATTGCAGGAACTTGTCATAGCATACTACATAAACTAGAGCAGCGTCAACCTACAAGCTCACAAGATACAAAAGCATTGGACCATGCAGCAACATTTCGACTCCAACACTGGAGCCTGGCTCTCGTATTGGAGCTGCAGTGCGGTCCAATAAATCTGCAGAACTTCAGCTGAGTACCCAGTCCTTGTTATGCAATAGAGATGACATCTTCTAAAAACTCCTGTACAGCCTGACAAGATAGTACAAGTTCTTGTATGAGCAGACAGCGACATGACTTCTCCTGTGATTTGAGTGAAACAGTGCAAAATAAAATAACAAAGAAAGGTTGTTATGGTGCTTCGAGTATCCCTTTAAATAGTACCTGCTGCCAGTACATGGCTACTTCATGTAGACTGAGGGTCTCACACATGTAGATCAGATTCAGAATATCTTTCTGGAAACAGCTCCCACCAAAGCCTAAAAAAAGATATGGTTTATGACAGAGCATGGCACAAGAAATAGTGTTATAATAAACATCAGTTCATTTACATCATACAAGTATACATCGTCATTTATTTCACATAATGTCAGAAGAATGGATGGAATTTTATAGAGAGAGAAGAAAAGTAATAAAATTAAATGTAAGAAAATTGATTATAAATCCATTTTACAAGAAGTGCTGAGACCAAAGGGAGTAAATATATTTGTACATATTTGAACAGACTTTCCAAATAGATGTAAATTCACTTCTTTATGAGGTTTATGTGAACAGGATTTAAAATTTTTTTTTATGGAAACCACGTGTAATTGGAAACTGCTGCTCTCATACATGCACTTCAAAAAGCAGTTTGTATTCTGATTTTAAAAATAAATGTGATACAAATTGTATTCAGACCCTTAGCTCAGTATTTAATTGGAAACACCTTTGGCAGTGATTATAGCCTCACATCTTTTTGGTCATGATGTGATAAGCTTTGCACACCTGAATTTGGGTGATTTATGTAATTAATCTCCTCTCAAGCTCTTGGATGTAGACTATCAGTCAGCAGCAATCTTAAAGCAACACTATAACGTAAGGAATACAAACATGTATTTCTGACCCTATAGTGTTAAACTAACTATTTAGGTTGCAGTCCCCCTCTTGTCCTCTTTAAATAACTTGAAAACTCACTTTTATTCCAGCGCTGGCTTTGTCCCCCACCCCACCTCCTTGGCTGAGATCATCAGAGTTGATTATCTCAGTTAACCCAATGCTTTCCTATTAAAAAGCATTGGGTTGGCTGAGATCTACAACTCTGATGATCTCAACCAATGAGGCGGGTTGGGGTGGAGACAAACACTGCACTGGCCAATCAGCATCTCCTCATAAAGGTTGGGTTCAGGTCCAGGCTCTTAAAGATATTTACAGTTGTCCATAAGCCAGTCTTGTATTGTCTTGTGTGTGTGCTTAGGGTCATTGTTTATTGTTCTGCTTGACCCCAGTCTTAGGTCCTAAACACTCTGGACAAAGTTTTCATTAAGGGTATCTCATTATTTTCATGTGTTCAGATTTCCTTCAACCCTGACCACTCTCTCAGTCCGTGCCACAAAAAAACATCCCCAAAGCGTGATGCTACCACTACCATCCTTTAACGTTGGGATGATATTGCGCAAATTGAGGAGTAATGTCTGGTTTCCTTCAGACACGATGCTTTGAATTGATGTCAAACTGTTCAATCATCATTTTATCAGACCAGAAAATCTTTTTTCTCGGTGCTTTTGGCAAATTGACAGCAGGTTTTTATGTGTCTCACAGTATGGAGAGGCATCTATCTGGACAGTCTGCCATAAAGACCAGATCAGGGGGGTGTTGCAATGATGGTTGTTCTTCCACAAGTTTCTCCCACCTCCACACATGATCTTTGGAACTTACCCACAGTGATCATCAGGGTCTTGGTCACTTCTCTTACCAAAGCCCTTCTCTCCCTATTGCTCAGTTTGACTAGAAAAAGTCCATGTTGGTTCAAACTTCTTCCATTTAAGAGTTATGCATGCCACTGTGCTCTTGGGAATTAATTGGAAATATTGTGGCTTATTCTATAACATAAAACCTCCCTCCCTGTAGACAGTAACCTTCTTTGTGTCTGGACCTCCGCTACTCCAGTTTCTGTTTAACTTGTTTAGTCACAGCTAATTGTATGTCTCATTTGTTGCACTGTGTGTTCAGAATTTGTTGGCACTTTAAACAATAACAATTATAAAAACTGTGGCAGTACAATAGGGTTGTACTCTTCCCTCAGGACAAGCATCTGAAATAAATAATTAACATAAAAAGTACCTCCCTTTACCAGGTATAAGAGACCCAACCAGCCCAGGGACCTCAGTACGTACCAAGAACACCTCAGTGAATCCATAAAACACCCAAATATAATATATATACATAAAGGGAGGGAGTGATGTACTGCCACCATATTAAGGAAAAAGGAATTTACGGTGAGTAAAATTACAGTTTTTCCTGACATATGGTGGTAGTACAATAGGGATATATCGAGATCCCATACTAAGGGCGGGAAGTTAGGCAATAACAGCTTGTAACACCGTATGCCCAAAATCAGCGTCCGAGGCAGAGAATATGTCTAGCCTGTAATGCTTGACAAAAGTGTTGAAAGAAGACCAGGTAGCCGCCTTGCATATATCTTCCGGAGAGGCACACGCCTTTTCGGCCCAAGAGGCAGCCATGGCTCTAGTAGAATGTGCTTTCAAGGAGGCAGGCAGAGGTAGATACGAGGAAGAATAAGCCAATTTAATAGTATCCACCAGCCATCTAGCTAAAGTGGCCTAGGAGGCAACTTGGCCTTTAAATTTTCCAAAGAAATTCATGAATAGATGATCAGTCATCCTATACGTAGAGGAGCGGTCCAAGTAGATTTTCAGAGATCTACCCACATCTAGTTGACTCCAATCAAATTTCTAATCTGGCATAGATGGACCATTAAAGGAAGGAAGAAAAATAGGTTGGTTTATAACCTTGGAGGAGATGAAAGGAAGGCTTAGGGTACATAACCACTTTATCCGGAAGAAGTTTTGTAAAGGCAGGAGAGGAAGAAAGGGCCTGGAGCTCCCCTATCCTCTTAGCCGAAGTAATGGCCACCAAAAACACGGTTTTCAGGGACAGATTTTTCAATGAAGCTTCTTCCAAGGGTTCGAAAGGCTCAGTACACAGAGATTTCAAAACTAAAGACAAATCCCAAGAGGGAAAACAGATTTTCTTAGGAGGCTTTACGAGTCTAACAGCTTTAAAAAATCTCCTAATGAGAGGATCAGAAGCCCAATTTTTAACCAAAAAATGACTGAGAGCGGAAACTTGGACTTTTAGGGTAGACAGACTAAAACCTTAAGCAAGACCATCTTGCAAAAAAATGAAGGATAGTATCAGTAGAAGGAGAGGATCCTATGCAACGATGAGATATGCACCAGTGAAGAAATCTCGTCCAAATTTGTAAGTAGATAGAAGTAGAGCTTCAGGTAGAATTTAACAGTAACTGAAACCACTCTTCTTTAATGCCCCTATTATGCAGAATTAGCCGTCAGCATGAACATGTTCAATACTTCTACTGGAATTCCCTTGTTTTCCAGAAGATCCGGTGTTACCGGAAGAATCCAGTACTTTAAAGCCATCTTCTTTAAAACCGAGAACCAGCTGCGGTTTGGCTAGTACGGCATTATGGCCAGAATACGAGCTTGATCTGATGTTACCTTTTGCAGAATCCTTGGGACAAGGCTCACTGGGGGAAAAATGTAAGCAAGGGGAAACTCCCACCGGATCGAAAGACCATCCATTACCAGCAGCTTGTCTACCTTGAAGAGGGAGGCAAACGATCTTACTTTTGCATTTGATCTTCTTGCCATAAGGTCTATGACTGGCAGACTGAATCTCTTCTCAAGATGAGCGAAAATTTCTGGATTGAGAGACCACTCGTTCTGGGACCATTTTGATCTGCTTAAATCGTCCGCTACCACGTTGTCTACTCCTCGAATGTGAATGGCGGAAATGTCGTCTAGATGACTTTGAGCCCAGGACATAATCCGTGAGCAAAGGAAATAAAACATTTTTACTCTTGTACCGCCTTGTTTGTTTAGGTAGGAGACTGTAGTCTGATTGTCCGACTGGATCTTTACAGCTTTTCCTATAATGAAATCCTTGAACTGCTGACGAGCATAGAGAACTGCCAACAACTCCCTGAAATTTGAAGATTCCTTTGTTTCCTTTTTTGACCAAACACCTTGTCTTAAGTGATACAGGAGATGAGCCCCCTAACCTGTATTTGAAGTGTCTGTAGAAATCACAATCCAAGATTTTTGACGAAAAGACAGGCCTTCTGTAATGAATTTTTTCACTAGCCACCAAGAGATCTTTTCTTTTGTATGATCTGATATACTCATTAAAGCATCCAAGTCTTCTTCCTTCTTTGACCATTGGACAAGAATTTCCCACTGGGCCTTGATTCCGCTCTGGCCCATTTTACTGCCGGAATTTAGGTCAGATGACCTAAAACCTGCATGGCTTTCCTCACCGAACATTCTGACATCCGAAGAAGGTTTTTTATTAAAATCTTTATCTTTTTTCTCTTTTCTCTTGTCAGATGAACCGACAGAGACTCCGACTTGATCAAAAACCCTAGAAACAAGATAGACCTCGTAGGGGTAAGGTGTGATTTTTCTAGGTTGATAATCTAACCATGTTCTTCCAGGATTTCTAGCGTATAGGCCACATCTGACTCTAGAGCACCTCTTGTATCTGCCTTTATTAACCAGTCATCCAAGTAAGGTACTACTGTGATTCCTTGCATCCTTAAAAAAGCTGTGAACGGTGTGAGGACCTTTGTAAAAATCCTGGGTGCTGAAGCTAGCCCGAATGGAAGGACTTTGAATTGGAAATGATGGACCTTTTTCCCTTTCCTTATAGCAAACCTCAGGTATTTTCTTGATTTCACATCCATAGGAATATGCAGGTAGGCATCCTTTAGATCCAAAGTTGCCATGAAATCTCCTTTTCGAAGGATATGGGTGACAGACGCTATAGTCTCCATTCTGAAATGTTGGTAAGGAATGCTTTAAGACATTATAGTGGTAAATAAGGGAACCACATGCGGTTACAAGTTTGTTCAGGTTTTTTAGATCCATGATTGGACGAAAAGACATGTCCAGTTTTGGGACTAGAGCCAACCTGGAGTATACCCCTTGATATACTTGGGAAGTTGGAATCCTTTCTACCACACCTTTTCTTAATAGGGAGACCGTGGCAGAAAAAAGGGCTTGATTTTTTAACTTCGACCGGTAGGAGGAGACAAGGAAACACGGTCTTGGAACATCTAAGAATTTTATTCGGTATCCATTTTCCAGTGGTCTCCCTCCATCTGTGAACAAAACCTTGCATCCTTCCGCCCACTCTGATGGCGTCAGAAACGTTTGTTTCTGTCAGACTTAGGGTCTTTTTGTGTCAAATCTTGGATTTTTTCTTCTCCAAAGGCAGTTCACACAATGCAGCTTTTGATGCAGTATCTGCTGTCCAGGCTTTAAGCCACAGTGCCCTTTGGGCCACATATGTCAAACCCATTATACGAGCCGAAAGCTTTTTTACCTCCGTGACAATATCCATAAGGTACTCATTAGACAACCTTAAATTCTGGAACAGGAGGGAAAGACCTTTGTCTTGGTTATCACCCAGACCATCTTCCAAAGTGTTAAGCCAAAGATTCTGAGCTCTCACCACTGAAGCCCCGGCTAATGCTGCTTTAGCCTGAAAACCTGCAGCCTGATAAGCCCTTCTGCTGGAAGTTTCAGCCCTCTTATCCATGGGGTCTTTCAGACCAGAAACTTCACCAATAGGTATGGTAGTTTTTTTAGACAATTGAGCCACTTTTAAAATGTCTGGAGACAAAAGCCCTTTTCTCAGGGTTCTTCCATTCTGTGAATATAAAATCCAGCATTTTTTGTTGGACTGGCAGTGTTTTATCCTTGGATTTATCTACCGTTTCATCAGAAAGGATAACATTAACCTCTTTAATAAATTTTCTCAACTCATCATGAGGAAATCCAACCTCAGAAATAGAAGAGTCGCTAGAGGATTCTGAATAAGAAAAAGAACATTCACCCGAGGATAGTTCTGAACTAGATGGAGTTCTCTTCCTTTTAGACTTCTGTTTAGTAGCTTTTACAGGAGAAGTGTGAGCAGGATCTTTATAAGACTCAAAAGTCTGGGCCAGATTATCCTGAAACCAAGACAAAAAGGATTTCATCTCTTGTTGCTTGGATTTTTCTAGCGTCAAGGAAGAGCAAACATTGTCTTTCCTTTTAAACCCATCTGGTAAAGGAGTAGAGCATTCACTACAACAGAGATGTTTAGTTTTGGAACTGGCTTTTTTAGAAGCAGGTGCAGGCACTTTGTCTTCATCCATATTATCAGTAGAGACAGGACTAGACATATCTGTAATACATAAGCAATAAATCCTTTTGTAGAAACAATAAAAAAAAAATATAGAGAGAGTTTTAAAGATGAGAGTCTAAAGAATCAAACCTCTAAAACCTCTGACCCATGTGGGGGGGCTGGTGACACGGGAGACCTTCACTGCCGAGCATCCATGCTGACATGAAGATCTGCTCAGCATAAATAGGCAGATCCGCTTTAAATTTGGCGCCATTTCGGGGAGTTCAGACCGCGCATGCGCAATAGCTTGGTCGGAACTCCGGTGGAACACCAAACCACCTGGGCGTGCGTCTCCAACGGGCAGTGATTTGCTGCCACTAGAGACCGCCTCCCTGCTTTGCCGGTGACTGCACTCGGCATAAAAGCGGCTTACATACCTGCTCCGTATAATCTGCAGGATGTTTTCTGGCCATTCAGCTCTCCACCCGGGAGGCTATCAGACCAGATGCCCCTGGCAGCAACCCATGTGCCTCACCATCCATATTCCAGATGCCGTCCGTTCCTGTTGGAACAAGAAAGAGAACTGAGGTCCCTGGGCTGGTTGGGTCTCTTATACCTGGTAAGGGGAGGTACTTTTTATGTTAATTATTTATTTCAGATGCTTGTCCCGAGGGAAGAGTACATCCCTATTGTACTGCCACCATATGTCAGGAAAATACATGTATTCTAAGATTATCTGATTTATTTATTTTCTATACATACCAATACTTGCTTGTAGGAATGGTCGTCCAATGCGTTGATCAGTACCAATGGCATGTGCTACTTCTCCTACATCTGCGCCTGTAACCTCACAGAGCGCACTGATCGAGTTAATGCTGCTAATTCTTTGAGCCAGAAAAGCATTAGCTGCCTGAAAAGAGGTCAGAAGACAATTTTCGCACTGTGCAACATTGGAAACATTGCAAAAGAATCCATCTATCTATCTATGTCTGTCTGTCTGTCTGACATTTTTTTTACAGAAGTTAATACAAATTTAATTATTTCCTGTAAATTTACAGTAAAATGTCCTGTTAAGGCAAGCCTATTAGGGGCATGCCTATAAAGCAGCTTACATTACTTGTAGTGACCCAAAACATAAAATTGAGGCAATTGTTGCTTGGAAGTGTATCGCACACTAATTTCGCACATGCATGCCCAGGTTGTGACCATAGATTATGACCCTAGAAGTGCATAGTGGTAATTACCTGGATTATTACCTGTTCATTAGGTAATAATTGCACTTTGATGTCACTATTCTTATAACAGTGTTAAATCAAGGTTTCAAATCCATTTCCTTGGCCATTTCTAAAGATGTTGGACTAATGCACAAACACATAATCTATAAACATAGCTGAAAGAGAGAGTTCTGGCATGGAGCAGTATGAAGCGGGGAACCAATAAAAGGTTGCACAAAAAGACACAGATAGTGAAAGTGAACAAGGTCTTACCAACTTGGAGAGCTCAGATGACCAGGTGTTGGTAGTTATTATTTTACTCTTTGGAACCCAGTGCTCATAAACTGCACTAAGAGCTGCAATAGCCTCCCGACCAGCAGCAGTCTCATCACCTCCGATAAGAATTCGGTCTGGATTCTTCAAATTTTCAATGGCTGTGCCTTCTGCCAGGAATTCTGGATTAGAAAGTACCTATTATGAAGAGTAAGAGGCCAGGAATATATGAACACCAAATAGATCCAAGCATAACTGGCTGTTTTTAAAAACAGAGGGCTAAGAACCTTAAATCATTCATCATTTCTCCACAATTTTCAGTTAGACATCATCATGGTGATCAGCAGGGTGGAATTAAGAGCCAATTGGTGTAGACAATCACAATGGGCCTAATTACATAATCTTATCAACAGAAAACACTAAAACAGTTATACCACCTAAATGTCATGTATCTGGTGGAGGTGGTGCTGGAGAGAAAGTCACAGGATGCAGCTATAAGAAAACACATATCCTCTTTCTTTAATTTCTCTACCAAATCTATATCCCCTAACAGCAGCATCTGGTGAAACAGGACATTGGTGGACATGGTAAAAGGGTGAACCACTGATGCAAATCACTTAACCGGCAACGCCTAAAGGGGCAGACATTCCAGGAAAAGGGGTGGGTCTGCATTAAGAATTTATATGCTAACAGCGCTCCGAGCGTGACGCAAATGTGATGCGCTTGCTGTTGTCTATTTTTCTCCATACTTTCTTACTAGCAGGCAAGCTCCTGGTATGCAGTCTGGGATAGAGAATATTGTGAGTGTAGAAGAAATGAGACTTGCTAGAGACAGTCCACACAACATTTGTCCCCGTACATCCCTCTTAATTTTTGATACTTAAAGGGACAGTATAGGCTCAAAAACTAATTTAGCTTAATGAAGCAGCTTTGGTGTATATATCATTCACATTCAGTCTCACTGCTCAACTCTCTGCCGTTTAGTCGTTTAATCACTTTAGATTCTGCTTATGCAACCCAAGCCACACTGTGTGACTCACACAGCATACATGGAAAAAAATTATTTAATTTTCAGTCAGATGTTAACTTAGGAAATGTATATTTCCATTACATTTAATTACATGCTAAAGTCTTCTGCATGTCCTAGAAGGCTTTAATTTATAAATTCTAAATTAAACAGACTGTGCAATAAAAAAATAAAATAAAAAAATAGATGTCTCTTTACAGGAAGTGTTTAGAAAGGCTGTGTAAGTCACATGCAGAGAGATGTAATTAGACCGCATAAACAAAGTATTTTATCTGCTAAACGGTAGAGAATTGTGGAGTGAGACTGCAGCGAAATGATCTATAAACCTTTGTTAAGCTAAAATTGTTTTGTGTCTGTATTGTCTCTTTAGATCCCTCTACACAAACCAATTGCATGTAAAAAGCAGTAAAAAACAGTTTTTTTTGTTTGTTTGTTTTTTAAATCAGTGGGCCTATTTGATGGGCATGGGCCTGGAGCTTTAGCTCAATCAGCCCCTATATTCCGACCCTGGTGATCAGCTGATATTTTAGATATACACACATACAATTTTACCAAGAACAACTCTTTCTGGTTAAAAAATAAACTAGTTATCCAAGATATTTCTTGAAAACTGGAAATGTCTAGAATGATTTACTGTAACAAACTGTTTTATACCCAGTATTCCTGGATGATCCTTTATACGGTTCTCATAAAAAGATTTGTCCTGCTACTGATGATCCTAATCTCTTACTTACTTGGACGGAGAGGTTGGGCTTGGTGCTTGTTTTAAAGATCCTGCGGATAATTTCGGCAGCTCGGACTGGCACAGTGCTTTTTTCTACCACAATTTTGTAACCATCAGCTATGTCTGCTATTTGACGTGCACAGGCTTCCACATACTTCAAGTCAGCTGCTCTCCCCTTTCCCATCCCAAACATCTTGGTGGGAGTGTTGACCTGTAGGTAAATATTACACAAAATAGATAAAACATGTTTAAATTCGGTATAAAGTATCAGCATAATCTATAGTAATATATCTTATCAGGGTTATTTGCAGTACTTAAGTGAGAATTCACAATCAAGGCCAGAGTACCTTAACTGGAAGCATAGCTAACTTTTCAAAGATATCCTTAAAGGGTTAATCTAACCATATTTTTCACTTTCTTTTATCTAGCTCAACTTATGGGCACTTTGCACTTGTATATTTTTTTTAAACTTACCTAGAATCCATCGCCAGGCCAAGTTCTCCATGATCGATTTCCCGCCTCCTCTGTCGTTACGCAGTGTCATCCTCTTCCTGTTCATTGTCCAATCAAATGCTTCTCATATAGAAGCTCATCTCACTGCTAAAGCCCACCCTTTTTTATTTGCTGTGGAGGAGGAGGGAGGACTGTACAGATGGCGGTGGGGGGTGAACAAGGGGAGGGGAAAAGCCAGTAATAAAGAGGGGTTGAGCCAACAATTTGACAAGTATTAGCAAGCCACATGCACACCGTATGTACAGGCTTCTACATGCAGGTGGGCTCACAGCACTGCCTGCAAGTGAAGAAGCCAATTATGTGCAGAGTACGTGCTGAGGATGGATGTAATTTTTGCATAGGATTCACACCAATCACAAATGTCCAGTGTTTAATTACACTCTGTGCACAAAATGAGTAATATCTGAAAAAAGCGGAAATGTTACACATACAGATTGCTTGCACCATGACTACTTCTAAAACTAGAAGTAGTCATGGTGGTTGGCGTATTGGCATCCCATGTTCTATCTTTTTTATTATCTTCAATATTGGAATATAACAGAGCATTTAAAAAATTATAGACCAATTTGTACCCTTGGGTGAGGAATAGTTGGTGTACACACTGACATTTTTATTTCACGTGTTTCACTATCACAGATATTTGTGCGTCTTTCTCCTATGAAACATGTTGACATATGTGTACTAAAAATATAAAACGATGATATAGATTTTCCTGTATTGTCACACATAGTTATTATTATTATTGTTATTAAGTATAACGTGCAAACAAATTCCACACTGTGCAGCAGGTGTAATTGAAAAAAAAAACTGAAAAACCACACCTAATATAGAGTATAGGGCGACCAATGGCTGAATTCCATTTCTGTAGAGTAACTCACCGAAATAAATATCATGTCAGCATTTCTGATGGCATCAGGGATGTTAGTTGAAAAGAAAAGATTCTTCCCTCTGCAGGATTCCACTACATCTTGAAGGCAAGGCTTAGGACAAGGAGAGAATAAGAAGATATCATTTGTTTGGACAACTAAAATTTTCTTATGCATCACGTAGTGCGCTGAAGGGGGACGAAGGGGGTTAATCCCTTACCTTTTTTCCAGCACCGGGCTCCCTCGGTGCTGGGACTTTCCTCCCTCTTCTGATGTCATCGGTTGAATGCGCGGCAAGAGCATTCTCAATGCTTTCCTATGGACGCTTGCGTCTTCTCACTGTGAAAATCACAGTGAGAAGCGCGGAAGCGCCACTAGCGGCTGTCAATGAGACAGCCACTAGAGGCTGGCTTAACCCATTTGTAAACATAGCAGTTTCTGTGAAACTGCTATGTTTACAGCAAAAAGGCAAAAAGGTTTAATCCTAGATGGACCTGGCACCCAGACCACTTCATTGAGCTGAAGTGGTCTGGGTGCCTATAGTGGTCCTTTAACAACCGAGTTTACCCTGTGACTCTGCAATTGACCCATCAGCTAACAGACCACCACTAGTGCACTAGCCAATTGAACATTTTTTTCCTGTCTTGACTGCACGTCTTACGGATTCACAACATTATGACTCTTGGCGATGACATTACTAATCAGATAGCTATATCTTTTCAAAAAGTTACAGAATGTGACAGTGCTGTCGTCTCCCCTGACTCAGAATTACACCATTCCACAGATCTCTTCATCATAATAAGTAGTAACAGGGTGTGGACTATATTGAGAAGGTCAACCATTACACATCGTTTATTATTTCAGGGTATTTTAATTTTACAGTGGTTTATTCTGCATAAGAAATAATGTGTTTCCAATGGGATTTATTAAATGCTTCACAATATTATGATTACGGACTTGCAATGCAATGCCGCACCCACAGAGCTATGCACTGCAGATGTGCTGAGATTTAATAGTGATTTGGAGGCATCCTTTTGTGCATAAAATATATTAGTCTCATAATTCTCATAATCACACAAACCTCACAACCTGACAATAATTATTAAATATTTAAATGTATGATGTATGGGTCCTTATGTACAAATGTTGTTGTATACATTATAAAAATGTATATGACCATTTCATAATTTTATAAAATACTTCCTTTAAACTTTCTTAATCAGTTAAACAAGTATCTGGAGGACACTATTGCTGGGTGCCGTTACTTCTTTAGATAATATCATCACAGCCATAGGGTCATATAGGCCCCATCCCACATACACCGTCATTTCAACTTTACAAATCCCACAACGTGATTACGCCACTCTCGGATTGTTCTCTACCCGCTGGGATATATGTAATATCTAAAGAAAGGAAAGACCCTATACTTTACTAAACCTACAGACCCGTGTCACTGCTTAATGCAGATGTTAAAGTATATAAAAAGTCCTAGCATTGCATTTCTTATACACCACAATGATTATGCACCTAGATGTGAGGCCATGGATACCATAACAAGAATCCTTACTATTTTACAGTCTGTATACTTTACGTTTGAATGGCATGTTCATGTCTTCACAACTTAATTATATAAATTTCAATTATTACAATTATATTTAATCTTTCTATACAGTGCCTTATGGCAGAATTGAAATGGACACTGCATAGTCGAACAATTGCGTACATTTGTTCATTGTGGATATAGGCATGGATTCCTTGTATTCCTTTACTTTTCATCCTTTTAAATATCACTCCAACATTATGGGTTGGTCTCTGCAATGCCATGAAATTAACTTGCAATATTCAAGGAGAGCTTTCGACTATATCTTGGAACATTTCTTTGTGGAGCTTTTATGTTGACATGACCCATGACATCAGCTGCTGACTTTGTAAATCCAAGATTTCGCTCTCGGTTATTTGAACCCCCTTGTGACCAAAGATGCCTAAATAGGATAGCTATATTACTGTGATTATACTTAAACATACCTCATAGATAGGTAGTTCCTCCGAGTTCCAAGCTTGGATCCTTGCTTCGTTAATATCCACCACCGTAACTGTGATTTCGGGACACATCTGGGCTATGACCGTACATGTTGGTCCACCAACATACCCAGCACCAATGCAGCAAATATGTTTGACCTGAACCATGGTTATGTTTGACTATTAACGCAGATAATGTAAGTGTCTTATCCTGTAAACAAAGGCACAGTTATATTTTTAATGTTTCAGTTGGCAAAATGTTTACGTGGCCTACACACAGTTTACTCCCATATCACATATTACTGGGCAGTTGAAAACACACTGTAAGCTGTTTGCTAGTTTGTTCAAATGACATCACTTGCTTAAAAAAAAATACAAAAAAAATACGCCCTCAGATAGAACCCTTTATGACTATTCAAATATAAAAATACAAAGTGACTGTGTGTATAGATAGACTAACAGGCAGGCAGACACATAGACGCTGTTATAATACTGCTCCATTAATGGTTAAACCTTGAAAAAAAACTCTTTCACAGGACAAGCCCACCAACCCCACAGCGACAGTTACATGAATTATAGGATGCTTATGTGCAACATCTGGGTTTAATTACGGCCCCTAAACTGACAGTATATGTTAACAATCCACACTGGACACTGTACTCATTTTCAGCGTAGGTCAGTTGTACACGTAAGAAACCACATCATTTTGTCATTAAACTCAGAGGGGGGTATTTCAACATATAGGGGGAAAATTCATACATCTGGATTTAACTGCATCAGGAGAGCAAAACTAAAACACACTTCCACCTAATTAGATAACAGTGGCCCTGTTCAAATATATATATTTGTACATTTAGGTTTGCAAATAAAGAGTATTATACACAACATAAAGTATATGTTTTGTACTCATTTACTAACATCTACACAGTAAGATCCAGACTGAATGGGCCCTCCTTTCCTTTCCCTTCAGGGAATGGATGGTTTAAATGACTTCTATTAAAGAGTAATTAAACTTGAAAAAATAAACAACGCTGAATTTATTTTATAAAATGTGTAGCACAGTTGTCACAGATGTTTTAATGTGTGCAGTTGTAATCTTAGCTAACCCACATATAACGGCAGTAACTTAAGATCAGTGTGAGCAGCCATATTTCATTTTCAGCTGGCTGTAGCTAAGGCAGAAAGTGGGAATTAACATTTTCCTAGTTTTCACAACATTGCTTGTAATAAAAAAAACATATATGTTAAGTAATAACAATGACGTCTCCATTGATTCAACATTTTTTTTTTTGTTGGAAAGGAAAGACGATTAAGGATAACCATTTGTTTTTATTTTTGGCAATAAACTTATTTTATTATTTAAATTTTAGTTACAAATTTTAACAATGGTGGCAGGAAATTCTATCAATAAATTTAAAAATGTACTTTTTCAAAATAATTCCTCTCTAAGCTCTCTTATATCTTTTGCTTTGTTCATTTGTATTTGAGACTATACCTTTAATTATTGAATTTTAAGATTGTGTTACAAAAAAGTGTGAATGGTTGGCATTTTGTTTGAATTTAAAAATATTAGGATAAGGACAGAACCTGTCTGTGTGTATCCCTTATAAAACATCGAGCCTATTGCTGTTTGAATATAGTGGTGTGATTATGACTCTGCTTATTGGTCCGTGTGTACACCATACATTCCCATCTCCTAGGCTGACAGAGGTTGAGTTGTGCAGCCAACAAAGGCAGCTCTGTAGGGGTAAGAACAGCTCTGTAGAGTAATACATGTACTGTAGACACATGACTGCTGGAGGAATATATTGTACCCACAAAATGATGCATCTATAATTTAAACATACTGTGGCAGCAAGAACAGGTTTGCGTATAACTGTGAAAGTTAGAAGTTTTCTGAATTACTATATTCTGTGTAGAATAATGTAAAATATACATGAAATTTATAGAAAAACTGAAAATATGTTTAGTGTTTTAAAAAAAAAATGGCACATATTACGTCCTCTGTATGTATTATTATTTAATGCATCCATATAAGTAGTTACCTCTTTTAAGTCCATCTCCTGGTTCCATCAAGTCAGCCATATTTAAATGCTCTTTGGTCAGAAACAATGTTTATCCAACGTAAGACCAAGGAGGTAATAAAGAGCAAGGGTTCATGGATAATGACGGGCATCCCAAAAATGTGTTCTGGGCCAGTTATATTTGTTTAAATTGCGCATAGTCTTGGAGTATAAGTGGTGCAACTGGTGCTGACCAAAGAGGAATGGAAGATGGTCATGAAGTAAGGGTAAGAACAGGTATGCATTAAAAAATAATACACATAGTTAATACTACATGAAACTTTTACAAATTAAAAATTACAACATATATTTAAAAATGATGAAAGCTTTCCTTTAACATCACTGCCTGATGTGGTAATGAGCTCCACTTTTTTCAGCATCATGTTTCTATGACAGTGCTTGCTGTTTTACAATTCAGTTAACCAGCTCCCAAGTTCAGCTTCTAAAAAAGACAATTCATGATCATCTTGATTGTGCAAGATATAGCAATATATCATGAACTGCAAACAAACATATAGTGTTTGTGGGAGTTTGATAGGGAAAGTAGAATTATGGGGAAAACATTCATGTAAATCAGTGCCATATGCACAACTGTGACTACTGGGGGAATTTCCTTCCCAAAATACATAACTTTTCCTAATCTTTTCCACAAAAAATATTTTAGTCTCACCCGTAACAGTTTCTCTTTTTACATCTCTGCTAAGTAGGGAGTAATAGAGATGTGCATTGAAAACATTTTCGTTTGAATTCATTCTCTATTTCGATTCATCTGAAATTTGACTGACTCCACTATTCACGAAGAAAGCTTAGCTGGGGTAGATCATTGGGTGCGAGTGTTGATGTGCAAATAATTGGGATGCCAGTGTGGAGGGCGTAAAGGGGTTAGCCCAGTGATGTGATTGCATCACTAGCTCATCCTCTCTAATAACTGGCAGGTCAGCCAGTCCATCTTTAAAGCCAGCCCATCGAGGGCAGATCCTAGAAGGTTCTAGTGCCCTCTCTAGAAGGTCCTAGTGCCCTGAACATAACACGAGTACATCTAATGATGAGTTTGTGCTATGCTTGTCTGGGACAGATCACTGGTGTCCCCAAAATTAAGACAAGGGACATAGTTTGGACAGTGAAACAGGACTGTCCCTTCAAAATTGGGACATTATTGGTTTGTCTCGGTTAGTGAGCTAAACCCTGTACCACTGGGCTTAGCTCAGACAGAGATCTTCCAGATATCTGTCAGAAGTAGTGGAGGCAGGAAGCAGAGCCTGGTGGACCTCAGTTTAGAAGACGAACCTATCTAAAACCATTGTGGTGGGAGCACTACGCACTCCTGGCACCATAACTGCTATAACATGCTGTAGAGGTTATGATACTTGGAGTGTTCCTTTAATATAGAGAACCATAACCACTACAACATGCTGTACACAAATTGTATATTTAAGAGCTATAGAACTTGCTTAGCACTATGAAAAACTCATCTCTTCTATAACAGAGAAATTCCCCCGAGAGCTGATTTCTTTATAGCTTTTTGAGGGGGAAGGAGAAGGGACCCCCTCTTATTCCCCTCCTGTTGGTAGCCAGACAGCAGACAATAGCCTAAAATTCTGATGTATATACTTAAAGATCCTCCATTAAATTAATGACTTATAAAGCCGCTGTCTTATTTAGCTGGGCACTGGGAATTTCGCTCTCGGTTATAGGATAACTATATTACTGTGATTATACTTAAACATACCTCATAGATAGGTAGTTCCTTGCTTCGTTAATGTCCACCACCGTAAATGCTATTGGGCATTTCGCTGTCAGTTATTTGAACCCCTTTGTGACCAAAGATGCCTAAATTGGATAGCTGGATAGGATATAGGATAGAGGTGGAGGCAGGGCATGTATATAATATGGCTATACAAAGGAGAAGCCCCCCTTCCCCAGTGTCTCAGATAAATTTAACTGCCAAGTAACAGTGCATAGAACATAGTAATATCATATTCATGAATGAAATGCAATCTAAGAGACAGATGGAAAGGAAAGGACTGAATTATTGCAAACATATTGATTATTTTTTTCAGAAGGATTTTGTGTATTTTTTAGGACAGCAATAGCTAAACTGTAAACTGCAGTCTGCTGATAGTGTATGCATTTTAATTGCACTGAATAAATGAGCATGGTGTTTAGCTAAGTCCAAGGAAGGCTGGAACGGGAAGCGGTAATATCTTGCGAATCAAGGTTCTACATTCATCAGTATGCACCATGAAAACTAATAGGATGTTTCTGCTGATTGGTCCAGTTTTAAAACTTTACTCAGGATTAATTTCTATAAATAACCCCAGCGAGATATTATATATAGCCGTATACAGTAGTGATGGACTGGCTATTACTGTTCTACTCTTTCAATGTGGTGAATATTCCATAAGGCATCAGAATGTGATATCAGCAGTGCTACATTTTCTGGGAGAGAGTTAAAAAGTTGAATAGCTCTGTTTATTACGACCAGTGATAATTGCTGAATAATAATTAATAATTTATTTTTAATATAACAGTTTTCTCCGCAAAGGGACTCAAAATGATTTTTCAGTACAATGCAATGGTAAAAATATTAATCTAGATAAATTATGCAGACTGAAAATATTGGCTTAAAATGCGCAGTTCATTTGTAAACTTTGCACAGTTCACCATATACTGAATATCTATCTATCTATCTATCTATCTATCTATTTATCTCTCCCTCTCTCTCTCTTTATATATACATATATTTATTCTTTAGATGAGCTCCCCCATAGGTCGTCTGTAAATTGTGAATACAGTAGAGATCAGTCATTCCATTCTGGGGCCCACATTTCCTCTCCGAGAGTTCTCCTGCCTTTAGGTATCCCACTGCAACATTGAGAGCTTACCCAAACTGTTTAACACTCTCACTGCTGGACAGCAGAGGCACACAATAGAGAAACATGCGCACACAGAAAATCTCTCACTGATCACGTATGTGTATATATTTACATCATCTACATATCTAAATATCTCAAGTAAGAGAATCCAACCCCAACACAGTAATCCAAACAAATCATGGTTCCAGGCACCCTTACCAATGGAGTACTGTTTTAAATACAGCTTTTCAAACTAAAGCATAGATTGCGTTTCAAAGAGGATCAATGACCAGAAACTAAGCACTATCCCTAGAATGTATAAAATTACTAATATATATATATATATACACACACACACACACACACATATTGATTTATGTCTAAAAGTACTGACCAGAGAAAGATTGAGCTCTAGACAGGCTTACTTCCATATGTATAGTAAATGGGGCTAAGCAAATTCAGGGTTTCCGGGGCCCCTGTATAACCCCTGGACCCTAAGAAGCCGTCTAGGGGCGCCTTATGGTTAATTGTTCTCTGGTGCTAGCTTATTTTCCAAGTTACTTAACACACATTGATTACACAGTAACCTTACCAGAACAAACAAAATAATGAGATTAAAATATATATATATATATATACACACACACACACACACATACAACTACAGCAGATGCATGTATAGGAATGAAATACACCTCAAATTGCACAATTACGTCAGTTTTAACATCTATACATTGTAAGATTAAATAGTACAATATAGAATATAACGATGCGTTGTAATAAGCAGGTTAAATAGTAATGAATAGACTAAATATAAAAATAGAATATAAATAGTAATCAACAGACTAAATAGTACAGATAGGATATAAATATATAACTGTGTGTTTTGATGAACAGATCAAATAGTAATGAACAAATTAAATAGTGAAAAAAAGAGAGAGAAACAAAAAGGACACAGAAAATGAACTTCACATTCTCCAGTCTGATGTAAATGGAATAAAGCAGCATTAGAACGTGCCTGTAGCGGCTGTAATGTAGATGTAGTAAGACTTGCCTGTCTGCGTCGGATTTTGGCAGCTCTGTAGGATGGAGAAGTAGAAGCACATTTTCTCCCTTAAAGTCCTGTAACCCAATCCTTCAAGGCAGTTATTGGAGAAGAGGTTACAGGGAACTCCCCTATACTCATATCATGAAATGGGAGTATCTTCACTTAAATAACCCTCAGCATGACACCACATACAGATAACTGTTTTACCCTTAACATGAGAAACCAAAAGGTGGCTATTTGCTCTATAATGAGCTGCGGGATTTATTCACTAAACACCAAATTGTAGAGGATTGAAAAAAAAAAAGCAAAATATAGTCAAAAATATCTAACTTGTAAAAGATTCTTCATCTTAGCTATATTTACAGCTTGGCTATTTTGCAATCTGGTTTGCAGTTAACTACAATTTGGAGCTTAATTAGTTATTTACTAAAGTGTGAATTGACAGAAAATGTAAATGAATTTTAGCAGTGTTGTTTACAATAGTGTGAATTGTTGGTTTGTCAAAGTGAATTTCTCATTTTAGAGGAACACAGTAGCCAGTGGCGTACACACAACCCATGGGGCCCCGGTGCGAAAACTGATCTGTGGGCCCCCCCCGCGCGTTTACTCTGCGTGGGCCGGGGCCACAACACATGGCGGCGGGCACTGCGACCGCGGTATGTACGCCAGTGCATGCAGATACACATACACTTAAAGGACCACTACAGACACCCAGATCACATCAGCTCAATGAAGTGGTCTGGGTGCCAGGTCCCTCTAGTTTTAACCCTGTAGCTGAAAACATAGCAGTTTCTGAGAAACTGCTATGTTTCACTGAGGGTTAATCCAGCCTCTAGTGGCTGTTAATCCAGCCTCTAGTGGCTGTCTCATTGACAGCCGCTAGAGGAGCTTCCGCGATGCTGAACGTCCATAGGAAAGCATTGAGTAATGCTTTCCTATGGGTGGTTTGAATGCGCGCGCTGCTCTTGCTGCGCATGCGCATTCGGAGCTGAGAGGCGGATCGGGGAGGAGGGATCCCCAGCGCCAAGGGAGTCCGGCACTGGAGAAAGGTAAGTGCTGAAGACACACTCTCACGAGCAGACGCATACACACTAGCTAACAGACACACACATTTACTGACACACACACACTCAGTGACAGACAGACACATACACACTCACAAAACACACACTCACTAACAGACACCAAACAGACTCACTAACAGGCGCACACAAACTAACACAATCAGTAACACACACAGTAATACACTCACTGACACACACAAACTAACACACACACTGACACAAAAACTAACACACACACTCTAACACACACACACACTAACACTGACACACACTCTAACACACACGCACACTAACACACACACTCTAACACACACACACTCTAACACACACACACACTCTAACAAACACATGCACACACACACTCTAACACACACATACTCTAACACACACACTCTAACACATGCACACACACACACATACTAACACTATCACACACACACACTAACAGACACACTATAACACACACACACACACACACTCTAACACACACACTAACACACACACTAACACTATCACACACACTCTAACACATACACACACACACACTCTAACACTATCACACACACTAACACATACACTCTAACACACACACACACTAACACTAACACACACACACACATTTTTTTTTTAAATTTAATCCCCCAGCCTCCTTACCTTTGGGAGAGCTGAGGGGATTCCCTGGGGTCCAGTGGTGTTGCTGGACGGCCGGTGACCGCACAGGCTGATGGACGGGCTGGCTGGCGTGCGAGGGAGCACTCTCCCCTGAGAGCTCCCTGTTCAGCTCCCTCGTGCGCCGCGTATTGATGCCGCGGCCGGAATATGACGTCATATTCCGGCTCCGGCATCAGTGCGGTGTGCGAGGGAGCTGAACAGGGAGCACTCAGGGGAGAGTGCTCCCTAGCGGCCCTCCTGGAGAAGAGGCTGGCCACAGTGGGTACATACCCCTGGTGGGCCGGGCCCGGTCGCAGCCGCGATCCCTGCGACCCCAGTATGTACGCCACTGTGCTTTCCTATGGGCGGTTTGAATGCGCACACTGCTCTTGTCGCGCATGCGCATTCGGAGCTGAGAGGCAGGACGGGGTGGAGGGATCCCCAGCGCCAAGGGAGTCCAGCGCTGGAGAAAGGTAAGTGCTGAAGACACAAACACTCTCACGAACAGACGCATACACACTAGCTAACAGACACACTCACGAACAGACGCATACACACTAGCTAACAGACACACACATTTATTGACAGACACACACTCACTGACAGACATACATACTCACTGACAGACAGACAGACACATACACACTCACTAACAGACACCAAACAGACTCACTAACAGGCGCACACAAACTAACACACTCAGTAACACACAGTAACACACTCACTGACACACACAAACTAACACTAACACACACACTATAACACACACACACTCTAACACGCAAACACACACACTCTAACACACACACTCTAACACACTCTAACTCTAACACTAACACACACACACACACTCTAACACACACTATCACACACACTCTCACACACTCTAACATTAACACACACACACTCTAACACACACACACCCACACACACACTAACACTATCACACACACACACACAGACTCTAACACACACACTAACACACACACACACTAATACTAACACACACGTTTTTTTTTAAATTTAATCCCCCAGCCTCCTTACCTTTGGGAGAGCTGAGGGGATTCCCTAGGGTCCAGTGGTGTTGCTGGGCGGCAGGTCACCGGGCGTGCGAGGGAGCACTCTCCCCTGAGAGCTCCCTGTTCAGCTCCCTCGCGCGCCGCGTATTGATGCCGCGGCCGGAATATGACGTCATATTCCGGCTCCGGCATCAGTGCAGTGCACGAGGGAGCTGAACAGGGAGCACTCAGGGGAGAGTGCTCCCTCGCACGCCCGCCTGGTGACACCAGGGCCAGCTTTGGGGGGCCCTGAGGTGGCCGGCTCCTGGGCCCCCCAGGAGAAGAGGCTGGCCACAGTGGGTACATACCGGTATGTACACCACTGACGGTAGCATTAGGAATACAAACATGTATTCCGATCAGTATAAATTCAGCCCCCCCCTTTTTTTTTATCCTATAGAAAAAGAAAAAACTAGTTATCTTTTCCCGAGTGCAGCAACTCACTCAGTGCTGCCACCCTCTCCTACTCCCTCAACGTCATCTTGGAGGCATTGCTTATTCGATGAGTATTCATAGTCTACGAGGAGCATTGGGGATGAGATGCGCATCCAAACAAATGCTTCTCAAATGCTTCCTGTAGCAGAGAGGCAATAATAAATCCCACGATCTCCGCTCTTTCAGAAGGTAATCCACAGTCAAGCGCTGAAAAGCAAGGCAATATCCCAAATCTCCCAGTAACCAGACGAAACACAGTTCTGAGAGTCAACTGAAGGCTTTATTCACAGGCTCCACAATTTATACAATTCCCCATGCAAGGGGTTTCCTGAGTCCTATCCCAGGGGTATTCCCAGAGTGGACTACGTGGGGAACTTACATTACAGAGCCTTTCCCCCATCAGGCACTGCTGCACGAGAGGGATCCTCCCACTGGAATATACTGTTAAGTGGATTATCCCTCCGTGCAGCAGAACCGGCAATTTACTTTAAAATACACCATTTTTCGAATGTTAGGTCTATTTGCACGAATGGACATTCGGTAGATAGCTGGGGTCTGAGCGCATCATTCGTGAGATTACCGCTCAGATCCCAGCTAAAACAACCGAACGCCGCACGAAAAACATATTCATTAAAACACACACTTAAAAGACCAATTGATGTATAGGGAATAAAATACCGAACGGCCCGGAACTCCCGAACGGCCTGGAAGTCCAGCGGTGTTCGCGCCGTCGAGTAGCCGTTTTTAGTACCACGCGCTCAACGACCAAACACCGCTGGGGAACAAAGGATCCAAGATGGCCGACCGCCGCATGGTCGGTAGCCGAACGACGGCCACCTCGGAGAGCCTCTAATTAACGAGCGCCACACGTCTCTCAATGTGTGGGCTGTTACAGGGTGGTTATTTCGGTTCACGAACGGCCCGCAAAGGTGCCGTTCGTGAAACGAAAGGTAATCAGCTATCTGTTTTCGGCAGATAGCCAATGCAGGCAGTACAAACCTACACAATCGTATTACATTAGACCCAGAGACACACATAACACGAAAATCATACAGGCAACCCTTAAAGCGATAGTACTTAAATAATGTCCAAGTGGCTAGATTTGCCACACTTCCCTATGAGCATCAACGTTCGATATCTTCATACATGTTGAATGTCACATGACTGGTCGAAACTCGGTTGTAGCAGAGGAAGCTCCTCTAGTCACCATCTAAAAGACAGCAACTAGGGATGTGTTTAAACTGTGTTTTAAAGTGTAATGTTTTACATCGCAGGGTTAAAATAACAGGCCACTGAACCAAAACCACTTAAAGGGACAGTATAGGCAGCCAGACCACTTCAGCTCATTGAACCAGTCTGGGCACAGTGTTCCTGTCCCACTTATAGACTTTTAGAGAAACTGCAATGTTTACCTTTTAGGATCAAGACTGCCTCTACTGGTAGTCAATCAGACGATCACTAGAGGTATATGGAAAAAGACATTCAGTCGGATAAATCATATGACAAATATTAGGTTAAAATGCTCTCCATCCGAGACTTTGTAACACTTTGAATGGCCTCAACTAAACAAAGCAGATAGATTTTTCATTACTCACTGTTTTGTAGCAGTAAAAATAGCTATTGCTTGAAATTGGAAATCACAATTAAAACAAACCTGGAAAACGGTTGAAAAAACAATTTTCTTAAGAGAAAGAACAAGCCATCAGTAAATCTCTCCTAGACTCTGAAAGGACCTACAGTATATGGGATACATGGGTGAACAAGATGGGCCCTTTAATGTCTCCCTTAGCACATGATTAAATACAACCAATGGTGGGATCAGTAGTTCTTCTAGGCATATATAGTTATTTGTGTAAGATGTGTTGGTTGATATTATTTT